ACTAAATATCCTATAGACAAATTAGATCAAACAAATGTAGTATACAGCATTGTTTGTACTCAGTGTGAAGCTGAGTATATTGGTGAGACTGGAAGAAATCTCTCAAATCGCATTATTTCTCACAAGAGTGATTGTAGAATTAAGAAACCATCTTGTGCTTTGGCAGAGCATGTAATAGACAAAGACCATATTATGGATTTTGATAATATTAAAATTTTATGTAATGAAAGTAATAAATTTAAAAGAACTTTTTTGGAAATGGTTTGTATTAGCAAAAGTGATAATAATTTAAATAAAAGGTCAGAAATTCAAAATTTAAGCAAAATTTATAATTATATAATTTCTATTTAATTTATGCAGTCAGTAAAATATCACATTTTGAATTTTCCATGTATTTGTTACATTTTTTCGGGCATCTATCAATGGTGAATAAATCTTCTTCTTTTTTGTTACTTAACAAAGAAGAATTTTTTAAACAAAATTTTATTTTTGACAATATGTCAAAAATAAAAATTTTTAAGTTAGTATTTATGTCATTTTAGGCTGGTTGTAGCTATTCTATTTTTGTTTATAAATTCAATTTTTTTTCTTAAGAAACTTCATCTAAATTTTTCAGAGAAACATTTATTAGAATAAGGCATTTTTTTATTAATATTTTTTGTATTTATTATGTAAGCAGTAGTTTTATATAAAAAACTAATTTTATTTGGTGAGTTAACAAAAAATTTTTTATTTCTAGTTCAACTTTGTAAGACATTTTGTATTTTTTAGAAGCTCTTGATAAAAATTGTAATCACAATTGAAAGCTCGAGTAAAAAATAGTCAACAAATAGCCCCTTTTATTGACTCCAACCCATCAAAAACAGTGTTATATATATATATATATATATATATATATATATATATATATATATATATATATATATATATATATATATATATATCAGATTAGATGTATCTGATGTATAGAGATGAAAATAATAAAATACTACTTCACAGCAAAAGGATATTAAAAAGAACTAGAAGAAGTACTTTCGACAGGTTATTAAATGAAGAATTTGACAGAAAACTAGTTGAGTTAATTGAAATAGTAACAGCAATATTCACCAAAATAACAAACGATGAAGTGGTTCAACCACTTAAAAAAACGGGATGTGGCACTCTGGGTATGACCGAGGAGGGAAGCATATATTTCATATCGTCTACGTACGGAGCAATGATTATTCTTCTTTACGTGCCGTCTCCGTGACGAAGGTAATCATCACTGCTATTCTAACTTTTGGCACTACAGCCCGAAAGAGTTCAGTTGAGCAGCATCCAACCATTCTCTGAGGTTTCTCAGCCAGGACATTCTTCTTCTACCTATGCTGCGCTTTCCTTGATCTTTCCCTGCATTATTAGCTTTAGGAATTCATATCTGTCACCACGTGTTATATGACCTAAATATTGTAGTTTTCTAATTTTATGGAATCCAGTATCTCCCCGCTGTTCTCTATTCTTCTTAGTACTTCTTCATCGGTTATTCTGTCTGTCCAGGAGATTCTCAGTATTCTTCGATATGTCCACGTTTCAAATGCTTCCAATTTATTGAGACACTGTTTATTTAAAGTCCATGCCTCCACACCATACCAAAAAAAAAAACAGAAAATACATAACACTTTAGTACTCGTTTTCTAAGATTTAGGCTGAGGTCTCTACAACATAATATTTGTTTCATATTATTGAATGCACTTCTAGCCCTTTCTATTCTAACTCTAATTTCTTTGGTATAATCGTTTGTTTCATTAATGTTTGCCCTTAAATAGTTATAATTCTGAACTCGTTCTACCGTCTTATTATTTATGTGAAGATTGATGTACCTAATATTTTTCTTTGATATAACCATGAATTTTGTTTTCTTTATGGTTTCTGACAGACCAAATTCTTCACTCGCTGCAACAACCTTATATAAAATTCTTTGTAGGTCTGTAATATTTTCTGTTATTAGTATTGTATCATCCGCATATCTAGTTTTACGTATGGAAAGTCCATTTGTTTTTATGCTTGCATCTTCTAATGCTTTTTTTGAATATTTCCCCTGAATATGCGTTAAACAGGGATGGCAACAAGACACAGCCATATGTCTAACACCTCTTTTGATTTTTATTTTATTAGTTTTTAAATTATTTATTCTTATGATAGCTTCTTTACAGATTATTTATTATTCTTATATTCCGTGTGTCGAAGTTCTTTGTTCTCAGTAGTTTTATTAACGGATTATGTTTCACTGTATCGAATGCCTTGTTATAATCTAGGAAGCAGACATAGATGTCCTAGTTTACATCTAAACATCTCTGTATTAGCACTGCATATAATGCTTCTCTGGTTCCTTGAGCATTTCTAAATCCGAACTGATAAGATAGATTTATTGGTAATAAATGAATACAAAAGTATTTTTTTAAGTCAAAGAAAATAAAATATGTCAGTATAGTTAATATACACATAAATATAAACACAAAACATAGATACAGTGTTTTAACCTATACTGTTGACAATTACAACAAATTAAAATTGGAAGTAAAATACTCCTCATATGTAAAAAAGGCATTCACTATAAGGTAACTCTTAATTTTTGCCCTAAACTGATGAAAATTAAGAGCTTTTATTTTAGCTGGCACTAAGTTGTAGAATTTTATGGCTAAATAACTTGAACCAATTCTGGATCTCTCAAGACGGCTAAATTCTTTTATAAGATTATTGTTAAATCTTGTGGGATAATTGTGAAAATCTACATGCGCATTGTATTGGCTAAGATTTTGTTTAATGTGCAACATACACTGCATAATGTATACACAAGGTAAAGTCAAAATTTTTAAAGCTCTAAAGTAGTTTCTACAGTCTGCTCTATAACAGAGCCCAGAGATAATACGAACATACTTTCTTTGTTGTGCAAACACTTTATCAATATGACAATAGTGAACCCAGGAGAGAATAGCATGTGTCAGATGAGAATGAAAATTACTATGATAAGCTGTTAAAATAGTTTCCCTGGAAGTCACTTGTACAAGGTTCCTAAAGAGGAAAAGTTGTCGGGAAAGCTTTTTCGATAGATTAACTATATGTTGTTCCCAGGTTAATCCTGCATCCAAATATATCCCCAGAAACTTCGCTCCGGTTACATATTGTGGTAGAGCAACGTTTTCAACAGAAGTGTTATTTCTTAGAGTAAAATTAACACTGTGATTTAGAGTTGTTTAAAGAGGAACTGTTAGTTAAAAACCAATTGAATAATAGATAAAAGAAATAATAAATAAGACTTACAATCAATTTAAGTTAACTATCTAGACGACCGGTTTCGCTTTCTACAATAAAGATATCTATATAAGACAACACCCTAATATGGGTTTTATTATTTCAGCATTTAATTAACTTTGTATCGAGACCTGAAGATGTTTTGCATATTGTAGAAAGCGAAATCGGCCGACTAGATAGTTAAATTAAATTGATTGTGAGTAAGTCTTATTTATTATTTCTTTTACCTATTTGAAATAGACTCACACAAGCAACACATTCATGATTCCAATTGAATAAGTTTTTTTCAGATGTTTGGTAATCAAGGGTGTCGAATTCAGAAGGGTGAAAGCGTGCATAGAAAGTAGTGCCATCAGCAAATAAAACAGTGCTAACTGTTTCATTTTGAGAGTACACTAGATCATTAATATACATACTAAATTATACTGGACCCAAAACCGAGCCTCGAGGGACACCAAACAACAGATATTCTTTTTGAGAATCACACTGGTTGAAGTGGACATGAAGTGAACAACTGAGTTTGTCCAATGTCTTGTTCTAACTTTTTATATATTCTACGATGAATAATCTTTAGGAATACTTTTAGTATCTGGCACTGATGTGTTAATAACTATTAATTTAATATAATTTTATTTAAATGTAATTAATTTAATTTTATTAAGAAACACGCATGGGACTGCGTTTACTACTCGATGTAGTCTATAATTGCGCGATCGTTACAATTTATCGTTTCAGTCGATTTTATTTTTTCATACATATGCGCGATTCACCGCTCCTTACATAGTCTGCGATAAGAATGCTATGCTTCCAATAAAGATAGGAAAAGCAATCGAACCAAAGATATTCCTGGGGAATATAATCCGGTATAATTGTTTCTGGCCGTCTCCCAGCTTTAGGGAAGTTAGGTAAATGCCAGACCAATGAAGACGCAGTATATTAGTACCTGTGTACAAAAACAAGGGAGATGTACAACAATGTACTACAAACTACAGGGCCATAAAACTACTTAGTCACACCATGAGAATATGGGAGAGAGTAATTGATAGACGTATAAGTGAAGCTATCTAAAATATATATTAATCAATTTGGCTTTTTGCAAGGCAGATCAAGCTATCAGTGATATATTTTTCCTAAATTTGTTACTAGGTTTTATATTTTCTATATTTTAGGTATGATAGAGGTGCAAGAGTTAGGGGAGCTATGAGTTCTGAAATCTATTAAGTCTCTCAGAATCATCCGTATCTATCATGGAATATCCATCATCATAAGGAGGAGCATATAATTAAAATTGAAATTTAATCAATAGTACTGATTGTTGCAAATAACCTCCCAGTGCTTCTGACAATTGAGATAGCCATAATCCAAGGAAAACAACTGTGAACCATCAATACTGAAAATATAAAATTGCTGGAACATCTTAATCAAGTAAAAGTCTGAGAAGGAAAAACCCCAAGATCTATAGTGAATGTTTTCAAATTTTTCGCTGAGTAATTTTTTTGTATGTACCTGCCCTTTATTAGTTTCTGCGCTGTTCCGTTTTCTGTATTATTTCTACTTCCCTCTCTCTTTCAAAAGTCAAATATTACTGTCTATCGTTCTAGTCTGTAGCACTTAATTTTGTTATTCCTGGTTATTGTATTTCATTATTGCTTTTAATTTAAATCCTAATAAGAACTTCTGAATAAGAAATTTTACACCAAAACTAAATTAATTTACATCTATATATTTTCTTTTAAACTATGTACAACAAAAATGTTATACCAGGTACATTGTAATATCGGGACCTAAAGCAAACAGCGTACGGTACTGTAAATTTTTCTCTATATTCTAGGTCAAATGGAATATGTTATTGAACAGTTTTCTTTGAAACAGTTAACATTAACGTACTGCTAGGAAAGCTTGCCTTTTACCATCCACCTTGGTCCTTAACTTTATAAGGATATGGTGACACTTCGTTGTGGGCTTTCTAAGTTAAAATAACTTACAGCTGATGTTATCCATATTAAAAATACTACTCAGTTGACGATAGTGTTCTCTAGCTCACAGGTAAACGTTGATTAAAAATTATTTCCTATAACTCTTGTTTGACAAGTTTTCGTTAAAATGTATTAAAAATTGTTGTTTATGAAGAAAAATGGATAAACAATTTGCTTAAACTTCTCCATACTAGACAATTTGGCTTAAATCGTAATATTTCTGTATAGGCAATACGCAGTTGCTTCGTGTTCCATCCATTACAAACGGACCTTTATGTATATCAATGGCACCGAGTACCATATTCGTTTCTAAAATATGGTATTTACTACAATACACACTTGGAAAATAGGTCTAAGGTGTTGAAAGACCATGGAAGTAGATTCTCGATAAAATATCACTACACAAAATCAAAGTAATAAAATTACTGACAACTAATACCATAGAACTGTGCAAGATAAAACATTACACAACGATTTGAAAGGTAACGTTACGTTCATAAGACTTAAAGGCCACATAACCTAAGTTCTCTGTCCGTTACACATTAAATCTGGTTTCGGAGCCGTCCGCCAACATCAGGGACACCGTTCTGTTGTTCATCCATATCAAGCGGGCTAGACGCATTGGATTCAGACGGGCTACGTCCGCTATGGGAGCTGTGCTATAAGATTTGACGTTCTTCGTCTGTGACTGACCCAGACCAAACATACCTAAAGAACAAAAATAAGATTCAAATTTGTTATATAAAAATAAGTATATTATTTTTAGTACTTTAACGTTACGTCACGGTTTATACAAATTGACGTCACTTTTAGTTAAAATTAACCTAACAGTCTTACTCCTCTGATACGGGAATACTTCTGACTTAAATGACATTTAAAGGATTGGCAAAAATGTTTACGGTACCGTCAACACTTTACAAGTTTATAGTAGTAATTTTATTTACAATTTGATTCGCGTATATAGTTAAAATAAACTGATTATTGTTGTATATTGTGCTTGAAAATGCCAAATCAACAGTCGTCGCAAAGAGCTCGTTTCTTCGTTAATAGATTACTTTTAACAAGACCGAAACAATGGTGGACCTATCATACTTTACTCATTAATTTTTACAAGTTGTTTCCCATTTTTCATTTTGAGAATTTAGCTTAACGATATACATAAAAGCGCTAAAGATTCATTTTTATTCTAGCTATATTCAGTTCGGCTATATTTGAAACAATTTTATGACCGTTTAAATAATTCTCTGCTACTTTGTCTAGTTTATTATTTCCAAGATAGTTTGTTTCAATTTAGTACTATATATTTTGGTGCGAAAATATCTCTGAGAATCACTAAATCAGCGAAATCATCGGTTATAGAGTACACATCGATATTTTGTTAATTGTAAGTTACAATTCTACCTTTATCATTTATACTGATTTAAAAAATCCAATAATCGCATTCTAATTTACGCCTAAATAAGCTCGTGAAGGTCGTCCAAAATCGACTGTTGTACTAGAAAATATCGATGACTTGTCAGAACAAAAATGGCAACATTACTTACCCATATATTAGCAGTATTAAAACTTACCCGTACTAGTCTGCCAGAAGCTCAACTTATTATCACCAGAAGCATAACTAACTAAAAATTTCCCATCGGGACTAAATGCTAATGCAGTCACAGGAGAGCTATGAGCTCGAATGTTCACACATTTTCCTTGTCGAAGCTCATAGAGGGTTAGAGATCCTGTGTGAGAACCAACTGAAATAAATAATAAAAAAACTATTAATATTTTAAAACAATCAATAAAAAACAATCCGAATACTTTTACCAAAGACTAGGCATATTTACTCTTTTGCTTCAAAATTGCCTCTTATTCCATTGGAATATTGTCATTTTATCTCCTTTTAGGTCGACTTATGTTTCTTGTTACAATTGGTGATTTATCGCGAAATACCCTGGAAGTGTTTTGATATCGTTACTTCTTGATTTTTCCAACAGAGCCTTTTACCTGTGCGAGTTCGTTTCTAAGTTTAGATGCTTGTTTTTCCACATTGCATCGTTAATGCATGTTGGTATTCTAATTCTAGTTGCTTTAGTCACGTGTTCCCTGACTTCTTCCTCGATATTGTTGTTACTTCATCTCTAGTTTGGACCTTACAGTGGCGCACCCAGGGGGGAGTGATTTTGGGGGTTAACCCCCCCCCTGGGCACTATTCCGACAATGTTACAAAGTTTAAGGACTTAAAATGGTGGAGGTAGCATAAAAAAAATTTCGATGCTCAACCAAAACCCCTCTCAGTGTAAAATTCTAGGTGCGCCACTAGACCTTATTAGTTCTATTTGTATTACTAGACTCTTTATTTTTTTTTGTGGAGATATTTTCATACCGAACTCTTTAGTCTTCATGTAAAAATGATGAGGCAGATCAAGCCTGGGTTGTAGTGCTGTGGAGTAAGTAAGTACATTACATAAACTACAATGGTATTAGTGAGTATGGTTTCATCAAATAAATAAAAAGTTCAATTCCAAATTTTGCATCACATAGGTTTAAAATTTTATAAACATTCAAATATTGAATATTTCAGAGGAAATAGATCGCATTTTATATGATATGATCTATGATATAACAATTTACCTGCTATTCTTCTTGTCTGCGAACAATGTGAAACCTGACTAAATCGACATACGGCAGGAAAAACATCCTGAAGCCCTTTGTTCTTTAATTGACTTGGATCCAAGCAATGAAGGATTATATCCATTAACTAAAATGTAAAATAAAACTATTCAAATTATATATTCCTCGTAAAGTACTAAATTAAATATAACACTAAATCGACAATTGTTTCTGAAACTTTATTTTCTAATTTGCAACTTTTATCTTTCACGTATAACAGTTAAATTTACTGAAGAAAAATCTGTAACTTTTCAACCTTTATCTCTGTATTCCTGAGAATTTGGAATGATACTGTTCCTATAACCTTATTACAGTACAATCAATAAAAACTGCGATCTTTCAACGGCACTTTTATGTCAAGTAAAATAAAGCCACATAGGATTTGTTTCGGTGGTAAAGACAGTCAGAAATCACATTTAGTATATCGTAATAAAACATGGATCCCGATACGCAATAAAGGTAATAAAAGCATACCAGGTGCTGAAGTATTTTCTGATCACAACTCCCTTGTCGCTAGATTCCGCCTTCATTTAAAAAAGATACAGCTAAAGCACAAAAACCTTCATCATCATTGGCTCCACAACCCATGGTGGGTCTTGGTCTGTTCAAGGATAAGTCTCCATTATCTCCTATTCTTCGCCTTGGTTTTCCAGTTTCGTACTCCCAACATTCTCAAGTCTTCCTCCACATGATCCTTAAATCGTGCTCTGGGTCTGCCTCTACTTCTCACTCCATCTATTCTTTGATTATAAATATGTTTTTGGCGGCTCCATCTCATTCATTTTCTTTATGTGACCTAACTACCGCAGCCGGTTTATTTTGATGGACCTAATAATATCAGGTTTGTCATACATTCGGTAAAGTTCGAAATTATAGCGTCTACGCCATAATCCGCCCTCCTGTACTCCTCAATAGATAGCCTTTTGTCATATTGGCGCACTATGTGACTGACGTAGTGCACCACTGTGCGCGCGCTTTTGGCAAATAATTTACCGCAAAAAGTAGCATATATAACGACGCCGAATGGACGACAGAGTCAGTTCAGTTTCTCTTTCGAGTGATTTCGAAGTGTTATTGTGCTGTTGTGTTCGTTCGAGATGTTCCGTTTATTGCCAGTGATCGCAACCTCCCACTTTCAATTGACTGCACTTCCTGTGGAGATGTTGTCTACTATTTTAAGGTAAGTTGTTAATATTTTTGTTTATTTTTTATATTTAACATATATCTATTCATGTTATTATAATGTCTACTGTTGCTTAATTTTATTTTAGGTTTTTGGATCCACTGTCTTTATTGGCAACTGCCAGATCAGACCCAAAATTGAAGATTATTTGTCTGGTTGACATAGTTTTGAGAAATAAACTTCGAGATGCTTTGGAGATTGAAAGACGTCAAGCCAAGGAAATTATAATTAATCCCATTAAGTCTCTAACCATTTTCAGAGAGGAAAGTAAAAGAGTATTTGCAGCTAATGTTGCTAAGAAATTGACCAAGAAACCCGTAAATTTTAAAAATAGTTTGGAGGTTTTCAAGAAGAATTCGATGAAAACAGAAAACAAGCAAAATAAATTTTCAAAAATTGTAAAAAAAATTGTTAATTGTAGAATATAAGTTTAGTTTTTTTTATGTAGATATTCGAAAATGTAAATATTGTATTACTTTCTTTTTAATTGTCGTACTAAAAATGACAGTTTTGAATACAAGGAGATACATTCGCAAAAAGTATATCAAAACTATTATTACTAATGCATTAGTATTTTATATCGTAAGATAATAAAAATATAAGGATTTTTATTAATACATTACATAAAATTCCTTGTGGAGTTTTAGTTTTTGTATCTTGGGAATAAACTCGAATTCACAAATTCTTTTGACGTATCGGTATTGAGCTCTCAGGTCTTTTTCAAAATAAAAATTTTATAAATTATATGTCGAAATAATCATAAAATCATTAGTCACGGACGCCTAAATGTCAAATAACGAGAGTTTTAAAATTGTGATTTATCTAACACTGTATAATTACTAAAAAACTAATAATAAATTAATATTTTTAACTTGTACAGCGTACACTGATATCGTAAAAAATTATCAAAATTTATTTTACGGGGCAACTAGTTTTTGTTTTTTTTTGGCTCGTAACAAAAAAAGTTTCAGAAACAGTTTGAAAAACTCAAATTTTCTATGTTGCCAAGCTTTTAACAAAGAAAAAGAAACTAGACTACTTCTTGAGGCACCTTCACAAGTAGAATAGGCTAATCTGCCTCGGCAGACTTTACTGTTTTTCAGTACCGGACGCTCTCGTTCATATTTTTATGGCCTAACGTCTGAAACATTTTCTGATTTACGGTAATAGGTATGGTTATTTATAAATTTTTAGTTTTTTATTTTAGTTTTTCAATGAGTAGCAAGACCACCTCTCTGGAACGGTGATTAAGGTTTTAGCCGAAACACGGTTAATCCGGCACTACACTGGAGTCCTGTGGCCTAGTGTCCTACTCGGCCGAAAGGTACTAGGATGTCTTGTTCCATGGCGTAGATCTCCAAAAAAGATTTCCCCCACCGTTGCCTGTCAGAATTCAATGGATACCTTCTTAGGCTCTTACTGGAATGTGGCAATACGGCAATTAAAAAAAAGCTTCTAACATATACATTAAATATCTTTTTATAAACCACTGCCTGTTTTTTCGGCATTGTCATTGCAATACATTATTTTTTAATTGTTAATCTCGTGCGTGCCGCTTACAAATTGTTATAAAAACTGCTTAAATAAATTTGAACCACGACCTCTTCACGGCATAGTATACATCTTTTATCTTATGGACTACTTTGAGAAACAATTTATAAAAATAAACTCAAGTTTCTAAGCGAGAGCTCTCAATCAATGTGGACTATATAGTATACGTTTCATTATGTATACCTTTATCGAGTTGTTTTATTATTGTTTTACTAAACTAAAATTCATCTGGAACAAGCCTGGTTATGTTTCAAAGCACCTCGTTTTAAAAATCCAACGAATTTTTTAATGCCAAATTTTATATATCACTTAAAATCCCAAGTTGTACCATTTCTATTGTGTCACTCTAAGGTTATGATGTCTTGTTTCGCTAAATATGTTTTTCCATTCCATATTAATATATTAATTCATTTGACATATGCTAAAATACAAAAGCGCCTTTTGTTATATTGGCGTACTATGTGACTGACGTGGTGCACCACTGTGCGCGCGCTTTTGGCAAATAATTTACCGCGAAAAGTAGCATATATAACGGCGTTACATGGATGAAAGAGTTAGTTCAGTTTTTGCTTTCGAGTGATAAAGTGTTATTGTGCTGTTGTGTTCGTTCGAAATGTTCCGTTTATTGCCAGTGATCGCGGCGTTTTGCTTTCAATTGACTGCACTTCCTGTGGAAATGTGGTCTACTATTTTAAGGTAAGTTGTTAATATTTTTGTTTTTTTTTTAATATTCAACATATCTCTATTCATATTAGCATAATGTATATTTCATATATTTCATTTACGTTTCATTTTATTTTAGGTTTTTGGATCCACTGTCTTTATTGGCAGCTGCCAGATCAGACCCAAAATTTTAGAGTATTTGTTTGGTTGACATAGTTTTGAGAAATAAACTTAGAGATACTTTCGAGATTGAAAGACGTCAAGCCCAGGAAATTATAATTAATCCATTAATTAATAAAGCTAAGTATCTAACCGTTTCCAGAGAGGGTAGTAAAAGAGTATTTGCAGTTAATGTTGCTAAGAAATTGACCAAGAAACTCGCAAATTTTAAAAATAGTTGGAGGTTCTCAAGAAGAATTCGATGAAAACAGATAACAAGAAGAAAAATTGTTAATTGTAGAATATAAGTTTAGCTTTTATTATGTAAATATTTGAAAATGTAAATATTGTATTACTTTATTTTTAATTGTTGTATTAAAAGTGACAGTTTTGAATAAAAGGAGATACATTCGCAAAAATTATATTAAAACTATTATTACTAATGCATCAGTGTTATTTTATATCGTAAGTTTCGTTATCGTTCGTTCGTTATTGTTTTTTCTTGGAAATAAACGTCAAATTCTTTTGATATTTTTCTTCAAAATACAAATTTTATAAATTATATGTCGAAATAATCATAATTGTTAGTTATGGAAACCTAAATGTCAAATAATGATATGATTTAAAAATTGTGACATCTCACAGCATACAATTACGCTGCAGAAATAAAACGTTTATTCGCTCCTGAACTCTTTAAAAACTAAATGAATAGTCGCCGTAACTGCCAATTATTTATACATTTCGTTTGAGCGCCTCTGCATGCATAGATGTATGTACTGTATGATAGAAGTGCACGAATAATCGCGACTCCTTGACTCGGGTCATTGTTACCGACAAAAATATGGAAAACCAACGAGTGATATAGTACATCCACTAATAATTTTCCAACATAAATATGCCTCACTCTGATTTCAAAGAGACCGCCTTTCAAATCAAGGTTGTCAGACATATTTCCTAAAATTCCTAAGGTTATATTTAAAAAATATTCTCTATTCTCTATTCGTTATTATTCAATTGCTAGTCAACGAACGACACTCTTAAAAAATAATATGAACATATTCTCAAAAAATATATCTATATAAATTAATTAACTAGGTACTAATATTTCCATGGACTCTTCACTAATGAATTAAAGCAACTGTGAACTTTGTATATATAACTTATACTCTAAGTAATTTTCGAATATCGGCAACATTGTAGTCTGGACAGAATTTCGAGGTGATTTCGATGTTCGGTCTATATCGACGTTGCCATGTTGGTGAATTTAGCGGTAATACTCTTATAGATATAATGATCGACTTTTAAGAAATCAGACAACTTTTAAGAATCCAAGTTCTGAAAAACGGTTTCAAGAATTGTATTATTTTTTTCCAAATTTTATTGATTTTATACCTTACCTGGAAACATGAAAAATTGCAGATATATTAATTATGGTATTAAAGTTACATTCAATAATTTTAAACTTGGCAACAGCGAAGCGCATCGCAATAAATCTTGATGGAACACCTGTTTGTCTGGCTATATGACACCCTAAATAGTTCATTTTGCAAGCAGCTATCAGAGGCGGATAATAAGGTAAGTAATATTATATTTTTCTAGGATGGCATTTTGGAGACCATTTGATACGAATGATCAAGATGCATCAACTTCTGTGTTATCAATAGATAATGACAATTATGTTAATGACAGCCCCGAATTAAAAAATAAAGATTTGCACGTACAATCCCAAAGAATAGTTTTAAATATGTATGAGTGTTTGAAAAAAGAAAATATTTTGATGGCTGATAATGCAATTGTTTCGAGAATTCATGTATTAACAAAAATCGGGAATAAGACGATATATACAATTATTAAATTAGGCATTGTTACAGATCATTCCTTAAAACGAAAGCGACCAAATAAAAAATTGGGTAGGATTGACACTGCTGCAAAAGACGTTATTCAGCGAACAGTTTACAATTTTTACAAAGAAAATAGAGTGCCTACTTTAGAACTGATTCGTGAAAAATTGAGAGATTTCCCTGAATATAATTATACATCTTTGGAAACACTGCGCGAGATTTTGATAAGTTGTGGATTTAAATATAAGAAATTAGATAATCGAATGGTAATAATGGAATCTCGGCGTATTGTTGAACTTCGACGAGAGTATTTGAGTAAAATAAAACAGTATCGTAATTCAAACAGAAACATAATCTATTTAGATGAAACCTGGTTCGATACGCATGATGTTGTCAAGTACGGCTGGGTTGACAACACAAACAAGTGTGCATTAAATACACCCTGTTCACGAGGAAAACGTGTTATTATTCTTCATGCCGGAAGCAAAGATGGTTTTGTATCTAATGCATTGCTATTGTCGGCCAAAAATATAACAAAGTCTTCTGCCGATTATCACGAAGATATGACAGCCGATTTATTTGAAAAGTGGTTTGTTGAACAACTCTTGCCCAATATTCCGCCGAATTCAGTGATTGTTATGGATAATGCGTCGTATCATTCCCGCATATTAAATAAAATACCTAATAATAACACGAAAAAGGACGAAATTTTAAAATTTATGGAACTTAAAAATATCACTGTTCCTAAAAAGATTCCAGTAAAAAAAGAATTAATTAGAATGATCAAAAGTCGGAATTTCAAAAACGAATACGTTATTGACACCATTTGCAGCAGGCACGGCCATACTCTTTTGCGATTACCTCCATACTATTGCATTTTTAATCCAATTGAAATGGTTTGGGGTACCGTAAAAAAACGATTGCGAAAATATAATCAGTCACCAACATTAAGCGCAGTGGCCATTGAGAATATTCGAGAAGTAATTAGTGGCATTAATAGCGATGTGTGGAAAAGTTGCGAAGCTCATGTTGTAAAAATAGAAAATGAATATCCTGTTTTACCGGCAATAGCACCAATAGTTATACAACCTGGGAACGATTCGACTTCAGAAGACTCTGACGATTCTTTTTAGTCCTTCTAATTAATTTCTTTACAGCTATCGCGATGCATCTTGAACACTAGTATTCATTATTATACAGTGTGTCGCATTTAAGATGAAGACACCTCTATATATCAGCTATCAAAATACATACAGATTAGAAATTTTGCAGTCATACATGTTGATAGTGCACATATTTTTAAGATAGTTAGTTATCTGAAATTTAAATTTTAAACGCGGCTTACTGCGAATCCACAAACAGGGTAAATTTTCGATATTTTGCTTCGCGTTAGAGAAATCGGAAAAACTTATTTGGAAAAGTTATTCCACTTATTGTAACCGCACATTCCAAAATTCATGACAAAATTCGCAATTTTAGTTTTTCAGTATTATTTGTAATCTCGATCCTAAATCTACAATTGGCTGTCTAAAGATGCATCTCGGGACAGCCAACTGTCCGTTTTAGAATCCTGACTACAATTGAAGAGCTTATTTCCAAAGTGTCTTAAATCCATATAATGAAATCCATGAAATTACAGATTTTCATACAAATTTAACATACAAATTATACAATTTTACAATTTTCATATGCACTTTTAAATGGCAAATAAGAAGTTGTTTTGGTACATATAACTTTATTTTAGACTTGAAGAAATCTATAAAGTTTAAAAAAAGAAAATTAAAAAAATCGAAATTTTGGATTTAAGACACTGGAAATAAGCTCTTCAATTAATGAAAAAAGTAAAAGTGCGAATTTTGACATAAAACTTTGTTATGTGGGGTTATAATAATATTTGGAACATCTTTTCCAAATAACTTTTTCCGATATCTCTAACTCGAAGCAAAATATTGAAGATTCACTCTGTTTGTGCATTAACAGTAGGCCGTGTTTAAAAATTAAATTTCAGTTGATTATCTTAAAAAATGTGAATTGACAACCTGTATGACTGTGCAAAATTTCAAATTGGTATTTATTCTAATAGCCGAAATATAGGGGTATCTTCATCTTAAATGCGACACACTGTATAGAGTCAGAACAAAAAAAAAACAAAAAACAAAAAAAAATATAAAAACAAAAAAAAAAATAATAAAAAACAAAATGAAAAAAAAACTAACTTTATATTCTTACTAACATACCTAACCCTTTCCTTTCCTGGCAAGGAAGGCTCATACCTCCTCGTGGTCCTTGCTGGACAGACAATATTTTGAGATTTTCTGTCCTTGCTGGATAGACAATCTTTTAAAATTTTCTGACAGAATGAACCATTATTTACAGATAATTGTAAAAAAATATTATGGTTTATGTAAAAACTAAATAATAAGTCCAATATTCTTATAAATCACTAAAATTAACAAGCTTTAATTTGAAAGAATTAATTTGTTATTTATTAGATGTTGTGAGCCCGCTCACATTTGAAAAAAAAAACTGATTCTGTCCTTTGAAGATTCCTATTCAAAAATACCGCGTTTAAACAAATCGAAGGTTGAAGGGTGCCGGACATTTTTGCAGGAAACAATTCAAATTCAAAAGATCTCCTTTTTCTGCTACGGAAAATATTACCCCAATTTCTCACCAAAATCAATGTCGAGACTTTAGTTTAAATACTCTTGAATCTCAAAAATACTCATTTACATATTTTTAAAGCCTCGAAAATGCATATTAGGTATCGCATTTTTCGGATTTTAAATCGCCTATATCTCCAAAACTATTAACTTTTGAGAAAAATGACATAGATCTTATTTAGAGTCATCCAAAAACCTAAAAAATATTTTTTGGAGCACAAAAGGTGATATTTTGAATTTGTTTAAAAAATTGTTCTGTAAAAAAAATTTTCCTGAATATAATTATGTAAAAATTAATAAAAATTATGATTTTTCTTGAAATATGCGTTTGATGAACTGATCCCTTTTCTTAATTTCCACGCCAATGGTCGGCATTTGCATCAAAGAAGCTCAAAAGCCGCCACTTGGAAAATTGACTTTGGAAAAAGTATAAATAATTGTACCCACTCACACGACATGGCAAGTATACGCAAGTGACGTATATTTGCCAAGTACACGAGGGGTTTGAATCCGGCTTAATGCACTTTGACTTTACCCGCACAATGCTTTGTTTAGATTAGAAATTCGTTATGGAATCCATAACAGTGATTTTATTTCTGTATCGTCAATATTTTAGTATTTATTTATTATTAAACAAAAAACATACGTTCTTACCTCAACTAAAAGATCTGCCATTTCGTTCTGCATTTTCTCTATCAAAAGCTCAACTCCTCTGAGAATTTCAGGTTTCGCTTTATGTAGAACGTTGTTGTTCATATTAATATTCAATGTTTGTGCATTTTGTTGCAGGGTGTTATACCTAGCTACTTCTTTCGCCATTGTCGTAATGAATGCAGCCGGTCTAAAAAGAAATTTTTGGTCAATTTGATTGTGTATTGCTATTATGGAATTGATGATTACTCGATGGGAATTCGTGTTTAATAATAACGCAAAACATAAAATCACGATGTTCTAACAGCACAGAACAATTGCTTTGTAAAAATGTAAAATATTTACATTGCACTAATTTGGCTTGTAAATAAACATCTAAGAACTGGAAAAAATCTAGAGGACCAATAAATAAATAACAAATTAATGTATGATAGAAAAATAATAGAGTTTTGGTTTTAAATTAAGCAAAATATGTTTACACGAGACTAAAATCTCGAATTCCTTGGGAAAAATATTCGCATGAGATTTTTTGCATAATCACTTTCATAAAAGACCGCAGAATAATGTTCCAAGACGTCGCCCATACAAAAAGTGGTCCTAGTTTATTAAACAGTTTTGTATAAATCCACTTTTAGGTTGGGATAAGGACCTCAAACAACTAAAAAGAATGTTTTAAAATCAAATAAGTCCAAACTAAAGTATCAGAAACTGATAGAACAAGGTGTGGTGAATTCAAAAATAATTGTGTTTTTAAGACATTTTTCGTTTTTTTTTCAATTTTAGATTGTTTATAAGTTATAAAATAAAAATATTAAAGCTATTTCACTAACGCAAAAATTAGTTGGTCTCTGTCTCGCTATGATAATGCACTGAAGAGAACTGCATGTTTTTAGCAACGTCTGATTTCATTGTTTCGTTCATAGATCGACGTCACTAAATGATTACGTCAGGTCCAAGCATTATGAACTATCTTTAACAGCTATAGGTTGCTTTGGAGAAATAAAAGACTTAAATGAAACCAAAACTAGCATTGTGGGAGACAGCTGCAATATCAGTACTGAGATTATGATTAAAATAAATTATACAATGTTAACAATCATAAATACACGAGTAGAGTTGTATCAACAGGAAGGTGGTGTTATTGTGTTGCTTTTTTGAGACTATCCTCGGTTTCAACTGTGAAGAAGCGCAAGTTAAAATATCTGTGCTGCATAATGATAAATCAACATCGCTATGGTTTATTGCAGCTTATAATGCAAAGGAAAGTACAAGGCAAAGGTGGTCCGGGCAAACGAAAAATTTCATGGCTCTATAATCTTATAAAGAGTTTTTCACTATCTAACACTAAACTATTTAGTGAATGACTGTTTTCAAAAATGAAATGAAAATAGTCATCTGTAGGCATCTTAAGAAGACAATAACTGCAATGGTGTACAAAATAGCAAATAAGGAATTGTTCAAGCACTAAAATAAAGCAGTTACCTTGCGGTTGCTATAAGAGTCAAAGCATGCCTGGCTGTCCGACACGAATCTGCCTGTGGAGTCAACGGTAGTCCATACGTCATGCTTGGAACCAGTCTATCTGCTTCCGAACACAATTCTAAAAGACCTGTAATATAATTTAAATTTTACAAAACTTTTTCTTCTAGTTATACTATATTATATTATAGTAAAATAAGACTAGTAAAATAGATTACTGATTGATGTTCTCTATTAGGAGCGATTGTAGTCAGACCTTGTCACTTTCGTCAAGGTTATCGCATTTGTCACTTACAATATGCTACGACTAATTGAAAAATCTTATTAATTCATTATATTTATTTTCATAAACCAAATACTTTTACTCACCTAACAATACTTTACTATTATCTAAGAACGGGGCCCATACGGTGAATCCCCTGCCTATGAGGTCGATGGCTGCTCGTCTCAACGGAATGTGTGCTGGTAACTTTTGAGAAGGAGGCGCCAGCAGTAAATGAGACAGCGCCATCGAAGTCAGTCTTGCTAGATTATTGTTGCCAGGACCTACAATACAACATATTAATTAGGAACGACGAGCGTTTTTTAAATTCCTTTAGAAATTGTAAGTATTAGACACACTATTAAATTAATAGAAATATTTCTTCGATACAGAACAAAAAATGGAGCCATATTTAAAAAAAATAAATGTTTAATCTTACCGAAACCCTCAACAACGGAACTCTTCCTTCTTTCTTCGCTCATACGTCTCTTATTATTATCGCTACAAGTGATGTCTTGTCCAAACTCCGCTCCTATCACCCCTAAAATTATCACCGCTGTGGATTGTTTCTTTTTGAGCTCTGACAAACTTGATGGTTTTCGTATTTGTTCCTCTTCCTCTTCCTCAAATTCTTCATCCTGAAAGTAGGCTAATTGTATGTTTGATTTTGATTACAGGATAATCTACTGAAATTTATATCGACTGTGTCGCAGATGCTACGCTTCTACTAGTAAGTAATGATAATGACTTGCAATAACCATTAAACCAAATAGTGACAGTATGCTGTTAGAAATTGAGGGAAAGAGAGATAGAGGAAAACCGAGGACAATATTGAAGGACTGTGTGGCAGAGGACTTGGAAAAGAAAGGTTTAAATAAAGAAGACAATAGAACAGAAATAAGTGGGGAAGAAGCGTAATGAACAGTGGTTCCTGAAAAGGGAAAAGCTCATGAAGAAAAAGAAGAAGTTGGATGGACAAAATACGTAATAAAACTGTTATTTAAAATTAAGGAAGATAAAGAAATCGTAAAAGCCATTAAAACCAGAAAATTAACGTATTTTGTACATTTAACGAGACACCCGGAAAGTGACAGCTTGGTAGATGCAAGGAAAAATATTCGAAAGATGTCTCAGAAGAACATCGATACTTAAAACTTGGGTCAGAGGTATATGTAACGGTGCGACGTTACTTATCGTCTTTTTGCTTTATTTCTTTTTGCCTATACCGGGTGGTGAATCGCCTAACGGGCCATAGGAAATTCAATGGGAAATTCTAATTTGTTAAATTCCTGCTTCCCTAATTATTTTACATCAAAAGTCATAAGAAACTATTTGTAGAGGAATGAAATAAGTATTAAAAACAGATGTTAAAATTATTCTACGAATTAAATCTACTCCAAAATTTTGTAAAAATATAATACCTTTTTCCGGCCACCCCTTAAAGTCAGGCCACACGAGGTACAAGAATGTGTATGAGATGTTGCGTTTGGTCATATTGATGATTCTGATATTTGACAATAGTTGAATTGTCAATATTTTTATTTTGTGATTAAATTATACGCAAATACTAAAATACGCAAATTTTTACAAATGTTGTGTTGTTTACAAAGCAATAAAATTGATGAAATGTATTCAGTTCATATGAACGGAGTTTATTCCTTTTCAAAATTTTTAACGCCGTAGAATTATGAATATTAAACTGGTCTGCAATGGTCTAATAACCTATTCTAGGATTTTCTACAACTGCTGCATTTCTACAAACTCTATATGTATTTCATTTTGTTTTTCTAAATTTTTTGGTATCTCAGCAAAATTGTTTGTATAGGTACAATTAGAAATCACGGTCCCATTAGTTACAAAATTTTGTAAAATCCTTTGAATTGTTGAATGACTTTTAAATTGGTCTATTGGAATATCTTACGCTAAATAAAGAACTGACAATTCGCGCACTATTGCCTGAATAAAACATTTTTATTATTGCTAGGTTCTCCTCAACTGAATACATTTTTTAATCAAGTATATTGTTTTTTAAACAATAAATTACAAAGTTAAAATTTTGAAAATTCAACTATTGTCAAATATCAGAAACATAAATATGACCTAACGCAACATGTCATACACATTCTTGTACCTCGTGTGGCCTAAATTTGGGGCGTGACCTGAAAAATGTATTATATTTTTACAAAATTTTGAAATACATTTAATTTGTAGAACAATTTTAATATTTGTTTTTAATACATATTTCAGTCCTCTACAAATAGTTTCTTATGACTTTTGATGTAAAATAATTAGGGAAGCAGGAATTCAACAATTCAGAATTTCCCATTGAATTTCCTATGGCCCGTTTGACGATTCACCACCCTGTATATCAGGATTTCTAATATTGTATAGGAAACCAATAATTAGTAGCTGGACAATCAATATGTCGAGACTTGAGATCTGATCGATTCTAATTGTCACCTTCATATTACTTGTCCTCGGGACAAGGTTGCACTCCAGCCTGAAATCTTGAAGAATAAACACCTAATTTAGGTTGGTGCGGCGAAGCAGGGGCACAATTCAGCTTTTATTTCAGTTTTATGATTTTATCTATTGTATTCGTTACATCCTTTCCCCAGAATTTGTTACACTGGCGCTCATTTAGTGTGCTTTTCACACAGATTTGCTACATTGGTCCCAACGTGGGCCATTTTGATGTTATATTATGCACAACTCATCGAATCTCTATTCAGGATGGTAGTAAATTGGGTGACGATCGCCAAAATGATAGCTAATGTCAAGTAAGCGGATACAGTACTTCCGGTATAGTTACGGCAAGAAGTTGGTTACATATTTCGTCAAAATTATATTTTAACAATGTCTTCCAATACAGAAATCAAAATATTAACAAATAGTAAATAAATAATAAAGTTTATGTAACATTTTATTAGAAGATTTTGAAAACTGAAGTAAGCACAAACATGGTATGTGTAATATAGATATACTCACATGAGTGAATGAAAACTTACCACTGGATCTGGACTGTGAGGCTGCTGGTTGATATTACCATTCGTCTGAGGCACTGGAGAGTTAATTTGCTGGTTGATAGTTTCAATATGAGTAAACTGTGGTAGATACTGAGCCCAAGACTCAACCAGTAGCTTTCTACCTTTAGGTCCCATTCTAAATTAAACAACATATACATTATACCAAATTAATATGACCTCAAAATTGTTGTCGACATAAAAGTTTAAGAATTTATACATACTGGAATTAAAAAGATTAATACTTGTGCCTACCTAGACAATTCAGCCAACAATAAAGTTTGCGCCGCCTCCCGTACTTCTACGCAATGGTGTTGCCACCTCTTGACCATCATTTCCACTTGCGGTCGTTTGAAATTCTTTGCACCATGCTCTACTACCTATTTAAAAGATGATACGAGTTTTGCAACAGTTAAAATTGTTCATAATATAAAAACACAAATGTAAAACAGCATTTTTCAATCTTTCAGTATTTGCGACACAGTATTTGTTCACTGTTTCTGTCTCATAAAATACTAGGGAGTCTTTTAACACCCAATTTATACAGGATCTAAATCGAAATATGTAAAAAACTACAAAAAAATAAGAGGAATTTATTGATATTGACAATGCCTAGTTTATTGTTATTAAAAATATATTTGTGTTTGGGTTATCAAAATAAATGTAAGATACAGAAGAGTGGTATACCTAGGGTGACCATAATTTTTCAACAAAAAAAAGTACATATATAATTTTTAAGAAAATATGTACACTGCTAGTGCCCTAGGAAATTTTTCTGGTCAAAATTTTACGAATATTTAATGAAACAATGATAAGAACGATTTTTTTTAATCAAACATACGTACATAAAAAATGTATGATAAATTTTAATAGTTAATTTTCTTTCGACGTTTCTTCCTGAACACCTTGATCATCTTTTTGGTACCAGTCGTTCTTTTTGGAACTATGAATTTCCTTCAGAAGTTGTGGTTTACTCTTTAAGAACTGAAACATTTCATTACACGAAACTTTGAAGTTTGTGTAGACTTGCATGATGGCTTCCAGAGTAGATATTTTCAACTGCGATTTGTTGGGACTCCAATAGTTATTGATATTTGAGAACAACCGCTCAATCGACGCACTGGTCCCAGGCAGACAAAAAACAAACTCTTTTGGAAGATTTCGAGCCATCGATCTTCGGTAGAAATATTTTTCGAATTCCAGTCTGCAATTTTATCTTCTGTAACGTACATTCGTATTAGACTAACTTCATCAAACAGTTCATCATGATTCAATATCGGACCTATGTAGTCTTTGAAAGCCTCACACGACGATACAATTTCAGCCCAAGAAACTTGTTTTTCAAGTTAACCCATCCGAGTAGTTTTAGTTCACTTAAACTTTCACTCTAGTTTTTCAAATATGTTACACTATTTGAATAGAACTGCTTGACATGCGTGATAAAGATATCCCGATAGTTCACACTACGGTCAAGGTCTTCCATATTTTCAAGTTTTGAAAGTGACTCTCTAAAGGCCCGTTTTCACGCTACGTCTTATTGTACGTTTTGTTGGATAGGACAAATCCTATACAATAAAACGTGACGTGTAACCAGCAAAACGTACGTCTTGTCGGAAGGAAACACGTAGTGTGTATACACTGGACAAAATGTACGTTTTGTCGTACGTTTTATATGACCAACAAAACGTACAATAAGACGTAGCGTGAAAACGGGCCTTTACTTTAAGCGGTAAAAATAACTCATTTAAGCGATTTTGAAGCTTATTTATGAGTTCGAAATACTCCAAAGCGGCTTCCGTTGCGCATATTTTGTCACCTTCTACATCTAAAATCACTTTGTGGAAGAGACACGCAATGTTATGCACAAACCACATCCATGCTTCACTGATTGGGTTTTGAAAAAACTGTTTAGAACTGTTGGACAATTATCAATCGATAAAAAATATGCTTTCAAGGGTTTAAATATTTGTATAATTCGTTCAGTGGTTGGCATTAGGCTCAAAAATCTTGTTTTTGAAAACGACAACATTTTTTTGTACTCGATATCAACAAAATCGCAAAACTGCTTTAGTTTATCCACTGTGACTGTAAAAATATAGAAATACTTAAAAATCTTGACCGCATTAACCTCGATGTCTATGGGTAAGACGTCCGTTGCATTTTGTAAAAAGTTATTAAAAATTTGTGCCACACAACCAATGCCAATCACGGGTTTACCACGAAATGCATTTAATTTGCTGGATGTTCACTCCTGCTCTCATTCCACCAAAATTTGTATTTGTATTATTAGCAGACATTCCGATGCATTTTTGTAGTAGATTATCGTAATTCAAAACATTGACCACGTAATCTTTTAACTGCTCTGATGTTTCACCAGGTAAGTCACGTAGCTGAAGTAATTTTACTTGGAGACCATTTTATCCATCAAAATATCTTACCATTAAGGGCATAACTTTAATTTCTCTATGATTCGACGAATCGATTGTGATATTGACGAAATTTGCTTTTCGAAGGTCAATTTCTAATTGGGATTGAGCCTCTTGAGCTAAAACATTTTTTACAATCGCCTCAGTCTTGGTTCGAACTGCCGCAAATTTAGGTTCAACTAAATTTGCGGCAGTTTCAACTAAATTTAAACTTTAGGTTCAACTAAAACTACTTACAATTAGTTTTGACGTGCAGTCTGAGGATCTGAAACTTTGCAAATGCTTAACTGTATGGTAAGCAAAAGGTTTCCAATTTGCTGCTCTTCGAGTTCGCATTAGCAGCCAACATGTGTTTTTTCTTTTACAAATGTTGTTTGATATTACTGCGACCACTGTTAGAAATATTAACATCACTTTTACAAATTTGGCAAATCACAATATGCGGTGAAACATTTGATTTGTTTCATTACTCTGCTTGCAACTCGACGTTAAAATGACATTTTCTTCTAGGCGATGACATGATGAAATTGTTTATTTTTCCACACAGTACAAAATAATATAAAAAACGAGAAAAACTGCCGAAATTTAAGACAAAAGGTAAATAGACTAATCAACAGTGAGCGCACAAGTAACAAATAAATATAAACCTACGACGAGATATATTATATTTTTACTAAATAAATAAGATAATAAGGTCTTGCTGCGAAATGAAATCGAGAGTGATGGGGGAGAGATGATGACGCAGCGACGAGAGTCACAAGTGACTCCTGCGCCGATCGATTGCTGCTAAAGATAGGAGATTCTGATTCTTCCGCAAAAGATCGATTCTTGAATCAATTCGAACCATAATTATATTTTGTTTGGACAAAAAGTAGGACTTAATTTTGTGTAATTAAGAAAAAGAGTACATTTAGGTGTACTTCATCAATTTTAAAGTACAATAGGACAGCGTTTGAAAAGAAAGTACTGTCCTACTAAAAAAAGTACATATGGTCACCCTAGGTATACCAGACCTTAGATAAATAGATGACCCGAAATAAATAGCCTAGAAAATTTCGGAGTATAGTACTAGGATGTTAAATCATTTTAAATCGGGACATAACACTTACCTTATCCGGTAACAACACACAATGTAAAGTAGCCAAAAGGGACCATCCTTGTTTGATCTGGGCTTGTTGTTGTGTAAACATTTCTTCGTGTTCCTCATCCGTTTTTGACCAATTCACACGCGTTGACTGCCTAATATTATTACAAAAAGATACATCAATTTTGATTGAAGATTTAAAAAATTACTTGAAAACTTGAAAATCAAAACAGTTAAAAATGTTTTTTTTAATATTTGACTACAAAAACGGCCATTTATGGTGAGTTGCGCGAAATCACGTATTTTCGTCTCGAACTATCTGACGCTTCTACGATAGATGAAACAATCTGAAACTTTACTTCCTGCTAAGTGCTACTATTTCCTTTGTCACAATTATTTTAAAATCTCTGCGACGAAACTTTACCATAATTGGCGGTTCCTGTACTAGATCAACTAATATGTACATACCTATGCAACTTTCGATTTCTTTCTTGTTCAGGAACAAACGTAGCGTTGCTCATGGACATTAAAGTGTGACTCAAAGCAATGATCGCAAGCAGATGGTTGGTGGTAAGTGTGGTGCTCAATTCCCAATGCGTTCGAGAGGTAAATATTCTAGTGACTTGTTCTTGTCTAATTAGTTCGGGAGGCAGACTATTCGTAATCGATAAATCGTTGGGAAGCGATTCTTCATCTACTGGAATTGTATTATGCCAAGTTGGTAGGAAGAGCGACATGTGATTTGCTTTTGACAGCACTCCGTACGATATTGGTACCTAAAAACATTATAAAAGTTTAAAAGCACAAGTAGAACAAGAATTTACGAGCCCTAACAACTTTATAATCAGACAAATTAAAATATACAACAAATTCAGGAATTTTACTGTTAATTATTTTTTTAATAGTTATGATAATAATGCTAAATAAGCAATATTTTTAATGATATGTAATCACATAAAATAATGGACCGCAGGAGTGTGACGTCACATTGTCATTATTACTTTCCAAACAAACGTTGAAATGTCAAATCTCAAGACTTTTTAATTCCTATAAAGTTAACATTTTGCTTCCTCTGCTGCTTTTTCTTGTAAGTATAGTGTTTTTACGATAATACCGTCATAATTCAGAGTTCTATTTCTATGAAATATGGTTTAAAAGTTTAATTAAAGAAATTTTAACCTTACTTTATTGATACTTTCATTTTATTCCTATTAGCATAAAAAAATGTGCTTTATTATTTACACAATCTTGTAAAATTGTTGTAGTAACTATTAAAATACTTAAATATTGCAAAAAGCGGAAAGATTCTGTGTTGTTAGCTTAGATTAAGATATAGGCGCCGGAGTTAGGCAACAGAGATGACAGGGAGGTCATGTGAACGTAGCCGAAGCTCGGGCAAGCATGTATGTTTGAGGGTTGAGAATAAACTGATGTTGTGAAGTAACGATTATTATTTGTAACCCCTCTTTGATAACACGACATGGTGGCAGCTGGTGCTTTGTTTTGTTAACATTAAACAAGCAAAGAGTGGTCGAACGTGACAACAGTGCAAATCTTATGCATAACCTATAAATCAGAGGGGACCTAAAATCCTTAAAATGGATGCACCTATCCAAATAAATAAAGAAGTGTTTGCGAACATTTCGGCTCCAAGCGAATTTGATTTTACACAGCCCCAGACATGGCCCCAATGGAAGAAAAGAGTAGAGAGATATATGTCTGTAAGTGGATTTGGACAAAAATCTGACAAGGATAAATTAGACCTACTGTTGTATTTAATGGGAAATGAAGCAGAAGATATTTTACTTCAAAATCAACCAGTGGAGAATGCATCCTTTCAAGATGTAATGCAGATTTTCGACAATCATTTTATTCCCCGAAGAAATACAATCTTTGAGAGATTTCAATTTAATTCAAGGGTACAAAGGCCAGGAGAACCTGTGGGAAACTTTATTTCAAGTCTACATACTCTTGCAGAGCACTGTAGCTATGGAGCTCTTAAAGATGAGTTAATTCGTGACAGGATAGTTATCGGAATAGCTGATAAAAAGGTGAGCGAAAGAATGCAACTAAATGATGGTTTGACACTAGAGAAGGCAATACAAATAGCACGCCAAGCTGAACTTCAAGATAGTCAAAATAGAATTATGAGACAGGAGCAGTCAGTTAGTGCAGTTAAACAGGACTACAGGGAGCGTAGTGATAAAAGACATCAAGGTAAGAGTTTTGCTAAACAAGAAACAACTCATGAGAAAGTTAAGGAAGGTTACAGATGTGGATACTGTGGCATACCTACATGTAAAAATAGGGAGAAATGTCCAGCCAAGTTCTCTGAATGCAGATCTTGTTCACGTAGAGGTCATTGGAGTGTGATGTGCAGGAAGAAAGCTGTCAGAGCTGTTAAGTGTTCAAGGTCCACCAGTAGCAGTAGTACAGATGACGAAGGAAGGGATTCAGTAAATCAAGTGGTACATACAGATTCCTTTATTGGCCAAGTGTACCTAGACAAGAAGGATCGTTGGTATGTAGACATCTTATTGGATGACAAATTTAAGGTACCTTTTTTTGTGGATACAGGAGCAGATGTTAACTGCTTTCCCTATGAAAAATTACCTCCAGAATATGTGGGTAAAATTGTGGCATGTGATGCAATTGGTGCAGCGGACGATCATAAATTGGACACAGTGGGTAAGCTACATATAAAATTTACTTATGACGGTTTTACAAATGATGAAACAATATATTGTATTAGGAAGTTGAGACAACCTATATTAAGCAGAGAATCAATCATTAAGTTTAATGTTCTAAATTTTTCTAATTGTAAGCTTAAACAGGTAAATCAAATCAGTTGCAGTGTTGTTCATTGTAATCAATCTGAGAGTACTAATATGTTTTCAAAATTTAATTTAGAGTCTGTTGCTAAAACATTTCCTGGTATTTTTAGTGATATAGGTGAATTTAAAATGGAAATGTCAATTAGAATTAAGCCTGATGCTAAACCTTATGTACAGAGCGTTCCCAGAACTGTTCCTTTACCTCTGTTACCAAAATTAAGAATTGAAATTGATAGATTGCTAAAATTAGGGATAATTGAACCCATTGAAGATCCTACTTCTTGGGTCAGCCCAATTGTTTGTGTGGACAAGGGAGATTGTGTACGGCTTTGTGGTGACTATACTAAACTTAATGAAAACGTGTTACGGTCACATTTTCCTCTCGGGAAAATATCTCATACACTAGCACAGTTGAAAGGGTCTAAATTCTTCTCAAAATTGGATACCACAAGTGGGTTTTACCAAATAAAATTGAATAAGGAAAGTCAGTTGTTAACAACTTTTATAACACCTTTTGGCAGATTTTTCTTTAAAAGGCTTCCATTTGGTATATCTTGTGCCCCAGAGTATTTTACTATGAGATTTTCAAAAATCTTAACTGGCATTGAAGGCTGTGTTGTCCATATAGATGACATTCTTATTCATGCAAGGACAATAGAGGAACATGACAATATTTTGAACACAGTCCTAACAAAACTTCATAAGGAAGGTATTACACTAAATAAAAACAAATGCTCTATAGCAACAAAAACAGCTAAATACTTGGGTCATATGGTCTCTGAGCAAGGGATATTAATTGATCCAGATAGGGTTAAAGCTATCCGTGATTTTCCTGAACCAAAAAATAAGACTGAGCTGTCAAGATGGCTGGGTATGATTAATTTTGCTGCAAAATACATTCATAATAAATCTGAGATTCTTGAACCATTAACACACTTACTAAAAAAAAATATTAACTTTTTGTGGGGTCCAGCACAAGATAAAGCTTTCAGCACTTTAAAACAAAAGTTAGAGAGCCCTCCAAATCTAGCGTTTTTTGATGCTAATAAAACCATAATTGTTAGTGCAGACTCAAGTTGTTTTGGTATAGGTGCATGTCTATTTCAAGAAAATGTAGATCATACTCGGGAAATAGTGGCTTTTACATCTAGGCTTCTGAACTCAGCTGAAACACGATACGCTCAGATTGAGAAAGAAGCTCTTGCACTTACATGGGCAGCAGAATATTTTTATGATTTTATTTCAGGAGTTCCTAACCTAATTTTTGAAACAGACCATAAACCTTTACTACAAATTCTGCAAACTAAAAATTTAGATGAGTTAACGCCACGTTTGCAAAGATTTCGAATGCGTTTAATGCGATACAAGTATACTGTAATCTACACGCCGGGAAAAAATTTAATTGTAGCAGATACTTTAAGTCGGGCCCCTTTACAAACAGATACGTTAGCTAATAAAGAACTAACTGCTGAAACTGCAGCATATGTGCAGTCAATTATTCATAATTTACCAATTAAAGATTATTTTTTGAATTTAATAAAAACAGAACAAGAAAATGAATATATTTGTAAAAAACTAAAAGAATATTCTTTGTCTTCTTGGCCTGAAAGATCTAAATTGCCATTTGAATTGTTGCCATACTATCAATATAGATATGAAATTTCCTATTCGGAACAATTACTTTTAAAAGGGTCTCGCATAATCATTCCTAAGAGTCTTCAACTCAAGGTGTTGGAATTTATTCATACAGGCCATATGGGAATTGTAAAATGTCGAGATCGTGCCAAACAGAGCGTTTGGTGGCTGGGTTTGTCATCCCAGATTAATAACCTTGTCACACATTGTCCCCAATGTGTTGAACACAGAGTAAATCATAGAGAAACATTTCATAAAGACAATACTGTACAAAGGCCGTGGCAAAAACTGGGGGTTGATTTGTTTAAATGTTATGATAAGTGGTATTTGATTGCCACTGACTACTTTTCACATTGGTTTGAAATTTTTACTTTAACCAATATGACAGAAGATGCAATTATTCCTAAGCTTAAAGATATTTTCTCTCGTTATGGTATCCCAGAGGAAGTTAGATCCGACTGTGGTACTCAATTTTCATCAAAATTTATAAAGTTTTCAAAAGAATATAATTTTGTTCATACGACGAGCAGTCCGCACTGGCCTCAGAGCAACGGTGGAGTGGAACGCACTGTACAAATTGCAAAAAGATTAATTCAGAAAAATAAAAAAGAGGACCTAAGTTTGGCATTGTTAGCATATAGATGTACACCCCTAGAATGTGGTGTTTCACCTTCTGAATTATTAATGAATAGAAAATTAAGATCTAACTTACCCCAGCTTCCAAGCTTATTAAACTTTTCAAAAGAACCAAACACTAAAAATAAAAAGAATGAAATAAAGGATAAACAAGTGAAAAACTACAATAAGCGACACAATGCCAAGGATTTAGATCCTCTTAAGGTTGGTGATTCTGTGTGGGTGGTTGATATCAGGAAATATGGGCGAGTTGTTGCGATCTGTCAGGAACCCAGGTCCTATATAATTGAAACTGAAACCGGGAAATTTAGAAGAAATAGATGGCATTTGATTCATGCACCCTACTGTTTCCCTGTATTGAGCACCCAACCAGAATCCTCAAATGATTATGTTCCGCCAATTTCTAGTAACACAAAGCTAATGCCTTGCTCTAATCAAAGCAATGGTGACATACAGGGTAAAATAATGGAGGAAAGTAGTAGGGGGGAACCCAGTGTATTTCAGGACAAAATCGAACAAAGTGGAAATCATGTTTTACCTCCATCGGGTCAGGATAAAAGCGATAGTGTATCGGACTTTGAGTGCGTAAAGCCTAGCAGGCCAAAAAGACTTGTGAAGAAACCGGTTCATTTAACAGATTATGTTTGTAGTAGTTTAAGTTAGTTTAGGTATAAGATCATTAATGACACAGGGATCTTTTATAAAAAAAAGGAGATGTGTTGTTAGCTTAGATTAAGATATAGGCGCCGGAGTTAGGCAACAGAGATGACAGGGAGGTCATGTGAACGTAGCCGAAGCTCGGGCAAGCATGTATGTTTGAGGGTTGAGAATAAACTGATGTTGTGAAGTAACGATTATTATTTGTAACCCCTCTTTGATAACACGACAGATTCTATAAAATAAATGAAAAAATAACGAAAAATACAAATTATCCACACTAAACAACGTTTGTTTGGAAAGTGAAACTGGCAGATGTCAATCAAATCTACGTCATCACTCCTGTGGTCCATTAATATTGTTTTATACAAATCACATAATATATTAATATCAAAAGATTATCAAAATAGGTAAAAATAAGTGAGAACTAAATAATGGGACAGTATGAAGTAACTTCTAAAAAACACATAAGATAATACAATTAGCCTGCGAAAACAATGCAACCTGACACTCTAATAAACGTCAAACTATATTTCACAATTTATTTCTTGTTAAATTGTGTGAATCGCTGTATGAATTCAATAAAATGGTGCCTGGTACCTCTACAAATTCTAAAAGTCGTGAGTTGGTGGTAAAAATTATTAACAATAAAAGAATCCTTGATGTGGCATATAAAATTAATACTCCTAAAACTACAGTGTGGAATATAATTAAGCATTATGAGGAAACATGAAGTATCTTGTATAAAAAAGGTAAAAGCCAGGGTCGTCCAAATCAAGTTTCTGATTGTAGTAGGAAAATATTGGTAAAAATTTGCAAAAATGATCAAATAAATACTCTAAGGCAAGTTACAGCTGAATTCCGTTTTCTTCTTCTCGTAGCAGTCCAAAATTTTTACAATTTATGTATTCCGTTTACTACATCTGTACATTGTGTTCTAATCGTTTGATATTATTGATTTTTCTTCTTTGAAATTCTCGTTTTTTCACATTACATTTAATTTTTAAAATAGAAGCCTGGAAATAATATCGTAATATCCAAAACATTGCGTCATTCAGTTCAATGTCAAATAAACATAAGAGAGTTAAGAGATAAAAAACTTATTGCGTGACCCTGTAGAATCAGCAGAAATTATGTATCACAGATTTAGTATTTAAAAGCAAAAAAGTATATTTATTTCTCGAAGTGCAACATTGAAGATCAGTTGGGCTAGCCGGGTGAGGGCTCAACGCCACAAGGGACGCTAGCCGCTTAATACACCCAGGGGTCTTTCAAAGTAATTTAGACATAGCATAGATCTGACCACAGGCAAGTTGAGGAAACATGAGGATAGACACAAAAGAATACTTATATTACACAATTACTTTTATTCACATCACGCGCTCGACCAAAGCGTTATTTCAAACTAGATTATATACGGTTTCTTTAAATTTACACTCAGTAACTATATTTTTACAACCCAATATCATAAATAATGTTCTATACTCCCTTTTGGGGATACATCCGCATCAACAATTTGGGGTTTCTATCAATTTTAATTTAAACGTTTGGTGAAATCTCAAGTCTACATAAAGTTTATAAAATATTTTTTTACGTTAACATTCCACTTCTGATACCACTAAGGGCATGATTAACCCACCGAGACCTTTTAAGGTCTAAAATTTCAATAGCCTGTAAACTTTATAATTACAAAAAAACGTATATTTTATTTTTCTTTTGATACATCTTAATAAAAAACACTACACCTGAAGGGATAGAAAAAAGAAAGATGTTTTTGCTATGTGGATGATGCAGTTCCTATATCCAAGAATAAAGATGGTCTATAAAGATATATTTAATAAAATATAAACATACCATTGGTCGTAGTAAGCCAAGTTTAACTTGGCACACTCTATCCAAATCGCTGTCAAGACCCCACGAATGTAGCAAAGACAGCAACAGCTGAGCTATTTCCATTCCATGACTAGCTTCGAGAGGACCGAGAGAGTTCGGTTTGTTGTTTCTTGAATTAGCTTCGTTTCCATCTAGAAAAATATAAGATTGTAGTGAATATGTTTTATTGAAATATTGATGAACCCTTTTCTTCATATTATCCTGGCTAAAGCAAACTTGCGAATAGCAACAATTATTAAATTGTATAACGTATACAAAAGTAATCATATATTTGCATGCAAAAATATAATTTTAGATTTAGCCCACGAATTAACACAAGATATAAATACCACCAGTATAATTAATAAGATATTGTTTTTGATAGACTCGCAGATCCTTATAGTTGATTAAAAATACAGTTATTTTGGTATTTGTATCCAACATTGCTTCTTTCAGTGTACCGTCTTTTATTAATTTTATCAAAAGTGTTTATTCAACGCTCCCTGTTTGATTTTTTGTCCACTTAATGTAAATATTATTGTGTTCTCCCATTATACACGTACTGTTTTTTCTACATTTACTTCTAAGAACCAAACCTTACACTAGGCTGTTCAATATAATTTGAAGTTCGATAAGAGATGGCGATGCTACTAGCCTAATTTTTTGTTATGTTAGTACACTCTTCATATAGCGCATGTGAATTTTAATTTCAATCTGTCAATTCTTTCTTTGTTTACAAGCTATTTGGTATTGCCGTATCAGAGTATTTTTGTACAATGGAAAAAATCAAGTATCGTGCAGTGATTGAATTTTTATTTTTGGAAAGTTTAAAAGCAAAGGAAAGGTATGAACGAATGTTGAAAGTGTATAAGGAGTCTTCGCTTTAAATTAGTAGAGTGAAAGATGGGTTGCTGAATTTAAACGTGGTCGCACAAGCCTTGATGAAGGTGTCATTGGACAGTGTAAACAATATTTTGACTGAAGTATTACGACTTTCTCAGTAACATTTAGAGCATTTTCGAAATGATAAAATGGATTTTGTGTGTAGATTCCTCACTATGGATGAGACTTGGGTCTATCACTATAATCCTAAATCAAAACAAGTGCTATTTGTTTCTTTAGTCTTCTATTTTTTTTTTCAGTTTCGTGAGCTCACCAATAAGACTTAGTGTTATTTTTATTGTCTGATTTTATTCGATCTAAGACACCTTCTTCATTTGTATATGAGATGACATACCAGCGACAAATTATGGTAATTTCAAAATAATATTAAAAACATGATTTTAGAAGAATGCGCTAAAAAATATATTTACTACGCTACGACTATAAAATAAAAACCTTATGAGTTATACAACATGAAACACCCAATTTAAATTAAAAATTCTAATATATACAAAAAATATTTTAACGACAAGCTGTAAATCTCCCTTTTCCATAGAGAAAGCAGTGACGTTTCTACAGAAAAAGTAAGCAAATTTCCTAATGATGAGCAAGTTGGCAGAGTTCTTTCTTGTATTTTTGGAAGCTACGGCTATTCAAAATTAGTATTGGTACAGGAATTTTGGAATTTTATTTTAAGTTTCGTTTAAAACTTTCCTAAAAATGAGGTTTTGCCGGTAAAAATTTACTCTCCATTTCTCTGTACGGCATTTTCTGTGTATAGAATTAAAAGTATGATGTTATTTATACGTCCATGGTATGATGTAACCCTCAAGGATCAGTTGTCATCTTTCATGATTATGTGTCACTTGTTACGCTCTTATTCAATCACCAATCTCATAATCAGTGATAAAGATTACAAAAATGTCACCAAATGGTTTTTAACTCATCATTTACATGCACGTCACCTATTCTGCAAGCTTCCATACATATAACATTAAAATAATAATAATAAACAAACAAACTAAATGTAGACAAAACATTGGTATTAACTACAAAATAAAAGTAAATAAAATCTCTGAAATAAAAACCCATAAGCAAAAAAGTATGTACAAAAACAAACTCAAAATGACTAAAGAATCGAAAGCGCATCGCTAGTTTGATATAAAATACCTTTGAAATGATCTCCTGATTGTTTTAAAACACTTTCTGCTTTTGCTATTGCTGTTTCTGCACCTTCTTTCATTTTGGCGAGAATTCCTACAAAAACAGGGTTTCACTTTTTGGGAAGATATTATTTTTGGAACAAAACCGAAATCTAGCAAATCAGTAATAAAAAGAGGTAGGAAAATAGTCATTTTCACAACCCTTTGTCACTGGTTGTATTTTTGTGGATAAACTAAAACAAGTTAAGTATTTTTAATTTTTTTTATTTAATTTATAAATTATTTGAAATTTAGAACTCCTTTTTATAGATCAAAAGAATATTTTAATGCAAGAGTATGATTAGCTGTAATAATTCCTTTTTTGTTTTTAGTATACACTGAGTATATACACAGTATACACATGATGAAAAACATCCTATTATTAGAATGTCAAAACAAAACTTAGTTATAAGATATACTAAACTTTAGCTTTAGCTAGACCGGGATTTACAAATACATTCAATAAGAATTAAGGGACTGTGAGGTTGGATAATATTTTCAAATCCATAAATGGGACAATAAAGAAATCTGGGCCAATGCAAAAATTACAGTGATAGCAATAAGTAAGGAAGAACTAAGTACAGTATTCAATAGAAATTCAATGATTTAATAGGAAAAGCATCATTGGGAACTAAAATTAAAACTTAAAAATTATAACTAATATTGGACACATACAGACACTGACAAGCCGAAAACAATAGGCGGAAAAAGTAACCAAAGCAGAAAACTAAATAGAAAAATAGCATGAGAGATATTTGGTCAAAATACTTGATCAATTGGTGCTCCACTGTGTGCTCCATATCGCTGACGTTGTGCTCTACTGTGAGCGCGTTTTTTAACCGCGTTTTTTAAATAAGATTTACCGCGAAAATACCTGTATATAACGGCGCCACCTGAAAAGCTGAGTCAGTTCAACTTGTGTTTTTGAGTTGTTAAGTTGTGTTCTATTGTATTCGAGATGTTTCGTTTATTACGTGATAGCAGCGTCCTGTTTTCAGCTGACTAGTTCCTATGGAAATATGGTCTAATATTTTAAGGTAAGATTTTATTATTATCTTTTATTTGATATTTTTAAACGATATTTTTAATATTTTGTTGTACTAAGTTTTTTCATTTCATTGCAGGTTATTGGACCCATTATCTTTATTGGCACGTGCAAGGTCAGATCCGAGATTCAAGAGCATTTGTCTTGGTGATAGCATTTTAAGAAATAAACTTCGAGATGCTTTGGAGATTGAAAGACGGCAAGCTAAGGAAATTATCATTAATCCTGCAAAGTCTCTAACCATTTACAGAGAAGGTAGTAAGAGAGTATTTGCAGTCAACATTTCTAAGCAAACTACTAAGAAACCTGTAAATTTTAAACATAGTTTGGAGATTCTCAAGAAAATCCAATGAAATCAGACACTAAAAGGAAAAACAAATGCTTACAAACTGTAAAGAAAATTATTAATTGTAGAATTTAAGTTTAGTTGTTTGTAGTCTGTATATAAACGCAAATAGTGTACCTATTAAGTTATTAAATAGTTTTAAGAATGACGATTTATAATAATGATCAATAAATTGACAAATCGAATCAAAAATTATGGTGGATCGTATTATAGGAGTAGCGTCTAGTCAATTGTCAAAAGACCAACTCTGGTCCAAGTCCAAGTCAGATACATTTAGTAATAATTACGACCGCACTAATTGAAGTCAACCATTTTCTGCTAAACAAACTTTACCTACTGTGTTGTTTACCCTTTATTTGTTTTGTGTAATACTTACTTTTCGTTTACTAGAAATAACCCTATAGATATATTTATTTATCACCATATTTTCACAACAGATGAAGTTTTAATCCACAAAAATACAAGTTACAAATCAAAAAGAACGTAATGCTGATGAAAAGCGTGGGATCGGAGAATAAGAAATTATCTTAATGAAAATAGCAAAATAAAAAGAATAAGCAAAAAAATTTCAAAATATGGTTGGACTACAATATAATTACCGTGTTTGTCTTTTTCCTTTATGATCATTTCCATATTTTCAGCTTTATTTTTCATCTTCCCGAAAAAGTCTTGCATAAAGAAATATTTTAAATTAGATGTTATCGTTACCTTTTCGTTATAGCGTTTTTCGCTTAAACTAAAAATATTAGCATGCAATATAAAAAAAAGCACTTACCTACGATCTTTTTATGAGCGTCTGGACTGGCACTTTGTGTTAAAGCAGCAACTTTGAGGTATTCAGAGGCGTTTATTAAACCGGCTGCTTCGAGACTTCCTGGCGACATTGTTTCGTATTCCTCACTTAGCAGTTCGATTATTAAAGCTTCAATATCGAAGAATAATATATGGCTTTCAGGATCTAGATTAAAAAAACATTTATATTTACTGATTTCAACCGAAACACAAATTTTTATCCTTTTATAAAGGTGCATCATATCCAAGAGTATGAGTAATATTAGGTGGGCTTATATATATATACGAGCCCCTTCCCATATCAGTTTGTGTATATATTATATATATATATATATATATATATATATATATATATATATATATATATATATATATATATATAAAACTTAGAGCTAAGATTAATACTATTACAGAAATTATATTAAACTCAACATTCTTCCGGGTAGAACCGCGTCGATTATCATTGTGCCCAGCTTTCGACATGCTCTTTGATGTCTTTTTTTAGGGCTTCCGAGGTCTCAGTCTCTCGAGCCCATAGACAGTACTACACTAATCACTAATCAATGTTTTACTGGTGCTGGGAATAGAGGACGGGTCATTTATACCGTCGATGATGACGTGGTTTGGGTGGAGTTTGGCGTGGAAGTTAGCGTAGGAATTGGCGCGAACATTTCTAACAGTAGGTTTTTGATCAATTGGCGTTCTACCACTTTACGTCAAAATGGGTTTATCTTATTTGATCCTCGAAGACGCTCTTGCTACTGGTACAATATATCGCTAATATATTTAAATACTATCTCATGCATATAATATTGAAAATTTGGGATTCGAAAAATTTGGCAAAGTTTTATTTAAAGAATAACTTTTTCATAAAGCACTAGAAATTGCTTTTGAAGTGTTCTGTGTGAACATAATTTTGTTGTAATTTCTCTAAAGTAAAAAAATAAAATAAATAAAAACATACAAACAGTAAAATGTGGATTACCTTTTGGATTTGTTCTTAGGCCTTGAATGGAAAGCGGGGAATTATGATTTCTTTGCATATGGGGGTCATCATTGTTCGTATGGGCTCCAAGCATCTGTAACTGATGGAGGCCTCGTTGAGTGGCATGCCTTATTGCTGACAAGTTTCTATGCCTTAATCCTCTATAAGGATAATAACAATAAAAATAGTGTGATTTTAAACAAAAGAAAAATATATATAAAATTATATATCATTAAATACATAACCTAACATGTCTGATTTATTTGTAAAACACAATTAACTAAGAAAATAAGCGACTCTGAAACACGTTTACACCTTTTTCATTACTTTTGTAATATATTTAAACAACGTCATTCAAAGTCAATATATATATATATATATATATATATATATATATATATATATATATATATAAACATATATATATATATATATATATATATATATATATATATATATATAATCAATATTCATGCACCGTCAGAAGACAAGGACGACAAAATAAAAGATCTTTACTATGAACAGCTAAATGAGGAATACGAGCGGCTACCTAAACGTGATGTAAAAATAATAATGGGTGATTGTAATGCTAAAGTGGGAAAAGAACCTCTGTACACTGCAGTAACTGGTAACTACAGTAAACACGAAGTAACAAACGATAATGGTCAAAAACTTATTGGATTTGCCATGGAGAAAAACATGGTGGTGAGAAGCACACAACTAAAACGAAAAGAGATATACAAAGGTACGTGGGTCTCCCCAGACGGTAAATCAAATAGATCATGTTATGATTGAAAGTAAATATATGAATATCGTTCAGAAAGTAAGAAGTATGAGAGGAGCTGAAATTGACTCGGACCGTTACCTCGTTAAAGTCACATGTGGGAGGAGGCTGAAAGAAAAAGAGAAATCGAACAATAAAACGAAGAGAAAGTACAATAAATAAAATTCTACAACAATGTAACCAAAATTTACAGATAGATCAAGCCTGGGAACAAATTAAATCTGCCGTAGGAGAAGCTAGCTAGAAAATAGTTAAGTGCGACTTCAAGAGAAGTACAAAGATTGGCTTGACGAAGAATATCAGGCGATAGCAAAGGAAAAGAAGAAGATCAAACAACAAGTATTAACAGATAATAGAGAGTGTAAAAAAGAAGAATATAGAATAATTCGAGGAAGATTGAAAGCTCTCTGTAGAAGGAAAAAGAGATACCACAATGAGTTGTAATTAAAAGAGATAGAAGAGAAGTTTAAACACAAAGAGGTGAGGTCGTTCTATCAAGAAGTTAAAAAGATGGGAAAAGGTTACCAAAGTCACTGTAGTTATATGAAAGGTAATGACGGAAATTTAATTAGCGATCCGGCAGAAATAATGACGGAATGAAAAAAACATTTTGAAGAATTATTAAATGGTGAGGTGGACCACGAAGCAGTAGTCAACTGGACGGTTGGAGAAGATGCGATAGTTGAAAGGCGGCCTACAGAGGAGGAGATGGTGACAGCAATACAAGAAATGAAAAATAACAGAAGTCCTGGTAAAAATGACATATGCAAAGAACTGATCAAGTTTGGTGGAGAACAACTACAAAGAAAAATATATCAGCTACTAGTGCAAGTATGGGAAAAGGAAATAATGCCATCCTCAAACTAAACTGTTACACGGAATCCTGCATGAATATCAGGCCGGCTTTAGAAAGAACAGATCTACTGTAGACCAAAACTTCTCATTAAAGGAGATACAGACGACCTGTTATGAAGGTAAAGTTCCCCTGCATGTTTTGTTTGTGGATTTTAGACAAGCATATGATAGAGTCGATAGAGTCAAAATGTATCGAGTAATGGAACATTTGGGTATACCAAAGAAACTTATCCGGCTAGTTAAAATGACACTAAATAACTCTACGAATGAAATTGCTTGGCAGGGTCACATATCAGATCAATTTACGGTTGCAAAAGGCTTGAGACAAGCCTTTATAGACGACATTATTCAACTTAGTGTTAGAAACTGTAATCAGAAAATGCAGGATGAACGTGGAAGCAACGATCATGAAAAATGAGCACCAGTGCTTGGCATTTGTTTAAAGGTTTTGGCAAATAATTAAGAAGAGTTGTGAAGAAAATCATCGAAGAAGCACCGAAATTCGGATTGGAACTAAATGAAGACAAAACCAAATATATGATCATGGGAGAGACAGAAGGGAAAAAAGAAGACTTTAGTGTGAGGTCTGTAAATGGTAAAAGCTATAGTTTTAAAAGGGTGGACAAATTTGAATACCTGGGTGTAGTTTTCGATGAAAATGGAAAAGAGAAATGGGAGCTCGAAGCCAGAATAGCAAAGGGAATAAAAAATTAGGTAGTAGCCCTACTTAACTCAAAATACGTTTCTAGACAAGGTAAACTTAGAATATATAAAACAGTAATTCGACCTACAGTAATATATGCACGTAAGACATGGACATTAAATAAGAAGGAAGAGGATACTCTGGAAAGATGCGAAAGAAAAATATTGAGACGCATATTCGTAGGACGGAAGACAGAAGATGGTTGGGAGAGAAGAACCAACAATGAATTTTTTACTTTATACAAAGAATCTACCATTACCAAGTTCGTCAAGGCACAAAGAATCAGATGGTTGGGACATGTGGAAAGAATGGCAGCAAACAGAATGCCTAAACTAGTAATAACCAGAAAATTAATCGGTAGATTAGATAAAAAGAAGAGGTAGACCCAGAACGAGGTGGATTAGTAAAGTGGAGGAAGAAACACGTGAAGGTGAGGGACTAGAAAAGAAAAGCATAAAATAGAAGCGAATGGAGAAATATTGTACACCAGGTCCTTCAGAGTAGTTAAGAATGTTGTATATACATATTTAAGTTAAAGTTTTGTTTAAAATAATTGTAATTAGTTAATATTAGGATTATGTTGTAAAAAAAAATCCCCTAGGCCTTAACGGTCTGTTGTGCGTAAAAACAAAATTCAAAGCCAAACCTACTTTAAGTATTTTAAAAAGTTCTGAAGTATATAGAAATCCTACAAAATGAACTAACATAAGACAATAACTTCTTTGGAATCGAGAATTTTAGTGATGCCATTGGTGTTTGTGATAAAGACTTTAGAGAATAAATGTACATAAATTGCGTTTAATATAGCTTTTGATCGAATCTTAAATCCAATAAAATTGTGAAATATGAAAATAATAGCATTTACAAGAAAAAACTGAAAAGATGTTTTATTTTTAATAGGTCAAACGTTTATTCATGGCAGAAGTAATAAAAATGACAAACCTGTTAAAGTTTCCTGAAATCCTGTGCATGAAAGTTCACATATCGATAACAGACACTTCCGAAATAAAAATCTAGAAGCAGTAATCATCAAACAAGCACATATTTTTCTACCTTTTAATTTGGATGTGGATACAAAGTACACAGACATATAGTCCAGCTCGGGAGGTCACTACCGTAGTAAAAATGTTTCTGATTAGGTTTCTTTGCGGAAAAATGTTCACTTCATAAACAAGGAAACAAATCAGAAGGGTGACAGGCGAAATATTTGGACAGACATTGTCTTTTGCTCAGGCTTAAAAATTAAGTGCTTTCTTCCACTAATTGCTTCTACCAAACCTAAACAACAAATCTATACAAAAAAACTGAAAAGATTTACCTGAAAAAGTGTACAGCGGGGTTCGCTAATCCAACCTCAGACGAAGCATTGTTAGCCTCGTTTTCTTCACACGCGTAGAGTACTTCTTCGGCTGCGATACCTTGTAAAACTCTATCTAAGTGTCCGGTCTCCATCTGCCAAACGTAGACTGTGCCATCGGAACATCCTATTATCATGAAGTCGTCATTAGGCCTCCATTTAATTGTCGTAACTGGGAAGAGATGTCTCGATGCCAAACATACGCATTTCCTTTCTGCCAGACTGAGTAAAGTCACCGAATGGTCCGACGCTACTGAACATATGCATTTTTGTATTCGAGCCTAAATAAACAAAAAAGTATACATTGATTAGTTACACATCAACTATAATTGTAAATAAAAATATAACAAAGTAAAAATATTTGTTATCGAACACTAGTAGTAGTAAATCAGCAATAATGGTATGGCTGGTGTTAGAAAGAAGCATTTGTTAGTTTCGAATAACGTTGAAACTAATACATCTTACAGATTTTGTAACGTTATAAACTACACATGTTTTAATATTGTTCTGAAGCTATTTTCTTGTGGCATTGTAAATTAATTACTGTTAAACTGGGAATAAGCCACAATTAAAGATAAAAATACGTTTATTGACGTTTCAATTTCCACTTCGGAAATCGTTCTCAAAATACAAACAGTAAATTAAACAAATTTTGTTTTTTGTTACATAGTGAAAAATTCTTCTAATAATTTAATTTTATCTGACTCATTTATATTGACAATTCAGACATCCATTATGCATTTTAAAGTAGACGACTTTAAAATGATATTGCCAATATTGTTGAGTTGCGCTCCTGGGACGACTTTACTTATAAGATAGTTCATTCGATTACATGAAATCAACTTTAACTTGAGAATATCCGTCAGAAAAAATCATAGCATGTAATTCGTCTTTAACAAGACAAACACATGACATGATGACAGTAAAATTCTCCTGTTAGTGATTCCATAGTAAATTATGAGGGAAAAACCAGGAAAAAAAACCTCATCACAAGAAATAAACAACAGGATTCAGGCCGGCAACAGATGTATTTTTGCCCTCCAAAACCTTATAAAATCAAAACAACTAACACGAGGTACGAAGATACAGGTCTATAAAACAATCATACGACCCGTTGTGATGTATGGAAGCGAAACGTGGACGATGACAAAGGCAAATGAAGAGAGACTACGTGTTTGGGAAAGAAAAATCCTAAGGAAGATCTTTGGTCCGGTGCTTGATGAAGCATCAGGACAATATAGGATAAGAACTAATAAAGAGCTTGAAGAACTTTACCCAGACGCCAACATCATAAAAGAAATAAAGTCCAGAAGACTCCAATGGGCAGGACACCTCAGAAGACATTCTGACGAACGAACAGTAAGACTGGTGTGGGAGGAAGTCCCAACTGGAAGGAGACCACGCGGACGCCCTCGTCTCCGGTGGCGAGATAATATAGCAGGAGACCTAAGCACTATGGGCGTGGAGAATTGGATGGAGGTTGCTCAAGATAGAAAACAGTGGAGGCATGTTGTCGAGTCGGCTAAAACCCACGAAGGGTTGTAACGCCACGGAGTAAAGTAAAGTATAGCTTTCTTTTCAGTCAGGCCATGGAGTTAGGGTGTCTCCATTGTAAAAATGACGTGCACCCTATCCTCCATGCTATGGTATGCTGGACGAGTCATACAGTCTGTAGTCAACATCCCGAGGTATGAGCGGGAACACAAGGTGCATTAATACTCATACTTGAATGATATGTCTTTAATCTTTCCTATCAGCCTCTCTTGGCCAACTCTCGTTTCTTCCGACCCCGAATGGCTATTAGGTTTCCGAGGGCAAACGGGTCACTATATTTCCTTCTACCTCATATTCTTCAGTGTGGCGTCTCATTCAATGTGACGAGTCATTCACCGAGCGATTGCCGGTATAAGCAATCTCCCACTTACTGACCAACGTTTTCGGGCGAATGAGTTGGTAAGTGATAGGGCACCCTTTTGTCCTGAGGTTGTGAAATCGGCCTCGAAGGCGGGTGAACCAAAGATTTGATCAACGGCATAAGGATGGAGAAACACAAGTAGGGCAAACACTGCATTAAAGATCCAAAGCGATACGCCCTAGTCAATCAATAATAACAATGCTCAATACTAAAATAAATTCCGGAGCAAATCCTCCGATCGGGTCTCCGGGGAGGACAGTTTTGAGTTTATCAAAATATAATAAATTCAACTGTAGAAAGAATATCAAGATCTGCACATGGAATTTCAAAACTTTATACAAAGCAGGCAAAATCCACAATGCAATACAGTAAATGAAGAGAATGCATATTGAAATCATGGGAATAGCAGAAATGAGATGGCCAGATTCTGGATAAATACAAATAGAAGATTACAAGGTATATTACTCGGGAAAAAGTGATGGATCATATGAATATGGAGTCGAAAATCGTTACTAATTTTACACCAATATCAGAGAGAGTGATATTGACAAGTAGAAGCTAACCCTATTAATATAAACATCATCCAAGTCTATGCTCCCACTACAGACAAAGAGGAGGAAGAAGCAATTGAGTTCTATCAGAACATCAACAGTATTATACAGAAAATTTCTCGACAGGAAGTTGTCATCATTATGGGCGATTTTAATGCCAAGATTGGAACTGGAGATAAAACACAGTACATTGGACCACATGGACTTGGATTCAGAAACGAGAGAGGGGACCTACTAGAAAAATTCGCAGAAGACAGAACTAGTTGTCACCAACACATTCTTCCAATTACCGCCACGTAAGCTGTACACGTGGAAATCCCCTCAAGACAGACCCGGGAGAATTATTAGGAATCAAATAGACTACATTTTAGTAAATAAAAGATTCCGAAACAGCTTTACATCTGGCAAGACTTATCCTGGAGCAGACTTGGAGACAGACCACGTTCCACAGGTGGGAGTATTTCGAGTCAAACTCAAAACAGTGCAGAAATAAAAAGCACAATCATAAGACCTACGTATGCTGAAAGACCTTGATACGAAGATGAGAGTCCAAGCCACGTTAAACGAGCAAGTGACTGCAATTAGAGACGAATCGAACGAAGAACAAACGATTAAACAAATTACAGAAATAGTGCAAAATGTAAAGGATAAACACTTAAAGACAGATAGATTAATGAAGAAAAAATCATGGATGACAGATAAGGTCCTTAAACTGGTGGACGAGAGAAGAGAAGCCAAACATGACCCAGACAAATATAAAACCATAAATATATTAATAAGAACGAAAATCAGAGAAGCGTAAGAAAAAGAAGAAAGGGAAAGATGCGAAGAAATTGGGACTCTGCTGGCAAAGTACGATAGTCACAATGTACATAGGAAAGTTAAAGAACTCACAGGAAGACTAAGACAAAAGTAGAAGGGAAATATAACTGATACTGACGGAAATATCATCTTGGACAGAGTAAAATTTGTTGGAGAAATACCAACAGAATGGCTGAAATCTGAGTTTATTGCACTTCCAAAAAAAACCAGGAGCCAAAAAATGCGAAGATTACCGTACTATAAACCTCATGAATCATCTCCTAAAATTGTTCCTAAAGATAATTCATAAGAGAATTTACAAACTCTGTGAAAGTCAAATTTCCCCCAACCAGTTAGGGCTCACAAATGCTGTTGGTACTAGAAAGGCTTTGTTTACAGTACAAGTCTATTCCAGAGATGCAGAGACGTCAACTGCGACGTATACGCATGTCTGGTTGATTACGAAAAAACGTTTGATCGAATACAGCACGCCACGATGATGCAAATACTAAAAGAAGAAGGAATTAACAACCAAGATCTGAAAATAATTAGAAATCTTTACTGGAATCAGACAGAAAATCTCAGAGTTGAAGGTGAACATACTGACTATGTGAAAATCATGCGTGGAGTGAGGCAAGGCTGTATTTTGTCTCCTCTAATCTTCAATTGTACTCTGAAAGAATATTTATCGAAGCCTTGCACGAAACTGAAAAGTCTTAACATCAGATATGCAGATGACACCATAGTATTTGCGGACAACTTAGAAGACCTACAAGTTCTTATGAACAAAATCACGTATTACAGTCAACAATATGGACTCAATATAAACGTTAAGAAGACAAAGCTTATGATAATTAGCAAGAAAAGGATAACAGAAGGTCAATTCTACGTCAACCAATCTCCTGTAGAAAGAGTGACGCACTACAACTACCTCGGCACCATAATAAACGAAGAATGGACCAACAGCCAGGAGATTAGAGCACGCATTGGAAAAGCTAGATCCACCTTCAATCGGATGGGGTCTTCTTCAAGAGTCACAACCTCTCTCTTGATAGAAAAGTAAGAATGCTGCGATGCTACGTCTTCTCTGTCCTTTTTTATGGTGTTGAATCGTGGACCTTGAACGACGATATGTGCAAAAAACTGGAAGCATTTGAGATGCGGCTATATCGGAGAATACTTAAGATCCCGTGGACTGACCGAGTCACAAATGAGGAGGTCATCAAAAGAATGGATAAGAACCGAGAGGTACTGACCACCATTAAATCTCGAAAGTTGCAATTCTTCGGACAAATTATGCGAAATGAATCCAGATATGCTCTCCTTCAAGCCATACTGCAAGGAAAAATATTTTAAAGCGAGGTCCAGAATCTGGTTTAATACATCTGTGCAGCTTTTCCGCGCTGCTGCAGATAAAATAAAGATTGCCATGATGATCGCCAACATTCGTAACGGATAGGCACATCAAGAAGAGAATAGCTTTCTTATCGCAGGCTACAGATGGAATGCATTGATTGGTGAAATAGTTTTGTTTTCTGTGATAACAGTAATTCACTGTTTTATGGTTATAAAAATAGATATACTCACACTACAATTATTAGGAGGCACTAGCAACTGAGTAATTTCTCCGGCATGAACACAAAATCTATGAAGTAATGTGCCGGCATATAGATCCCAAACACAAACTGCAAAATCCACGCCGCCTGAAACTAGATGATTTTTGTCATATCTTGCGTGTTCTCTGTGTGGATATAACAGGCAATTCACCCTTCCTCCGTGTCCTGATAGGATCTGATGCTGTGGCCAACCTACAATTCGGACCAGTAAATATATATTTAAAATTTAGAAAAAATTATTGTCTATTTGATTGTAATTGACAGCTCATTGCAAATGTAAACCTTCAAAATGTTTAATATCGAACTAATGCAAGAAGTGATATAGAACTTGCGGATGATACAATTTCCAACAAAATTAGTAAATTTGTCTTAATATTTGATCTTACTGAGTTTAAATTTTATTTGTTAATTTAAGGAAATATTGAAACTAAGGCGACACTGCAGCAAGAAACTAAGTCACCAATTCCTAGATGACGTAATTTAGTCAATTTACCTAAACTGGTTAATATATTGTTAATCGATTATAATTTTATTAAAAAAAATTGTTAATTAATCAGACAACACTGATAAAAATCGGAGAGAAAATAAGAGAATTACGGTATGGTATAGCCGATATTTCATTCGCTCGGGAATAATATGTGAACATAAATGAAGCAGAGTAGTGACAGAAGGGGAAAATATATTGTAGTGTTTATTTTAATTGACTTACAGTCTTCTAACACTAACACTAAACACACAATTAATTTGTAACATTTATTTACTGAACTATACAAATTTATATGATCGATTAACTCCCTACAATTTAATTTCCCTTATATATGGTAAAATTATTCGTCGAGAACGCAGTTAATTCTCGCGTCAGGCCACCTATACTGCCTCTCGGGATGTCACGAAGTTTTCGATCAGCGTAGGGGCAGCAAAGCGGGCGGGAGTAAAAATATATTTGTGTCCGAGAATACACTACTAAAACGACAACTGCATAAATAATGAATTGAATTTAATTATTATTTTCAAATTTTAAAAAGATGGTGATTATTTCTGCTAGCAAATATTTTGGAACAGCTGCAATATAAATAGCTTATCTGTAGACTATGAAAAAAAACGGTTTTAGAAATAAAAATAAATTATAAACTAAAATGGAAAATGCAAATACCTTTATAGTGTTGATGGTTCCCATGAAGTAATTGTAACATCACAGTTTGGTTTGCAGGAACGATAATTATTGTACCATCTTCTCTTCCTACGACTAGTCTACTTTGCAGAGGCAGATATATACTGGCAGTTAATTTGACAGCTGGAAATAAAAAGCTTTTATTTCTACTTCAAAATACCAAAAACTCTTTCCTAAACCATTTCTTTGTGGATCAAGATTAGCTTGAGTATATCTTGAAGAACTAGAGCATAAATGTGTGACTTGGTGTGTGATAAAAGCCGTTAGTTACAAAATAACTACAATATTTGAATACTTACACTGTTCTTCCTGTTTCTCGAGTTGATCTAAAATCCCAACCGGACTCGGCTTCATTCCAGCCCAAGCCTCTGTTAAACTTGTAGTGAGAGTGGCTTTCATCGTTACTGGTTGGGGTAATTTTTGTCTTTGGATTTCTTCTAATTGAGCGGGAGATATTTCTGGGATACTCCATACCATCACGTTTCCCTCGGAATCGCCTCTGATCAGGTACCTGGATTTATTTGGCTTGTTTTGTTTCGTAGTCGTGATGAAATGCATCGATGGTGGACAAGACAAAGGCTACAACGATATCTTTTATCAAAACCTATAGAAGATTGCTTTTGCAATTTATTTTAGATGGACGTCATTTTATTGGAGATTTTGGCATGGAAAACAGTAATGAGCGAGGAGAAAAATTAATACAGTTCTTAATGCTGCAAATCTCTCTAGGACGTTGCAAGTACTCTCTTCCAGCAACATGTATAGACGTTCTACACATGTACATCACTAAAAGGCTGCACAAAAATTCAAATTGATTGTACACTGATCCAGAACCGATAACGCATAGCAATCAGGTCGGCTAAAACTTTGGCAGCACCAAAACTTAGCAGAGTAAAGAGAACAACCGCAAAAACAATTATCCGCCTTTGAAAAATTATGTAGATGATTTATTTGCAAATATGAATAGCTCAACAACAGAAGTATGGCGCACATAAACAAACGGCCTCGGATATGATACATTGAATTAGTAACAAAAAAGATAGTTAAAAAACAAAGGACTGGCAAAAGACGAAGGCAAGAATCGATTCAGATAGCTTTCATTTCACAACCAAATTAACTATTTGATAATATTACAACAGGTATTTAAATAATAAATATTAACTTTAACACTGAAATAGAACCATCATGCCAATTCGTTATATTTTTTTTTAATTAAGAATATTATATGTACATGTGGTAAAACCCATCTGGTAGTATGTAACAGAAACAACTAGGCCAATTATTATTTTCACTTTCTTTTTGGTGACTTTATAGTTTTTTAAGATCTGTGTCAGTATTTCAATAGCATTGTTCATAATGATACTGGCCACCTTCCTCCAAATTGTATTAGGACCTCCTTTCATGTTCCAATACATTTTTTTCTACAATCTTTGTCCTGAATAGACTTTCTCCATCTTTTAACATCCACCACTTGAATTCTTGTGGTCCTCTCCGATATTTTGGTTTTAGTTTCGCTTGTTACTTCGATGTCCAAGCTTCAGTGGATGTTTATTCACTTTCAATTTGGTTAGTTTTTTCTTACTATAGTGAAATTACAGAACCGTACAAAGATCTTTACAGCGGGTAAAGTTAATATTACGAGTAAAACTACTTACGAGTAATACACTATTACGAGTAAAACTACCTTTTTTTTTAATTGTAAGTTCTTCTTCTTCTTCCTTCTTTATAAATAGGCTTAATACCTACTTCGGTTTTTAGCCTCAATTGACGTTGTCTGATCATCTTTTCCTCGGTCGTCCCAATTATCTTCTTCCATTTGGCGATTTGTCTCTTGCTATTTGTACTATTCTATTTTCTGTCATTCTTTTGATGTGTTGATTCCATTCCACTTTTCTTCTTTTGGTCCACGCGTTTATTTCCTCTATACCACATCTCGCTCGTATTTCCCCACTTCTTACTCTGTCTCTTAGAGTTTGGTTTGTTATTTTTCGTAAGACTTTCATTTCTGTTGTTTCCAGCAGTCTTTGTATTTTCGCCGTATTTGCTCTTGTTTCCGCTGTGTACGTCATTATCGGTCTTATTGTTGATTTATATATCCTGGTTTTCGTTTCCGTTGTGAGGTATTTGTTTCTCCAGATTATGTTGTTGAGACATCCTGCTGCTCTGTTTGCCATGTTCACTTGTTTTTGTACTTCTTCTTTAACTTTTCCGTAGCTTGACAGTTTTATTCCCAAGTAAGAGGACATTTTAATAATTTTAAGTTATAATGCAAATAAGAATAAAACTGAGAGACATTAGATATTTATTATAAAATACATATATTTACAAATAATTCTCTTTAAGTAGTCAAATAAGAGGCATGAAGTTTAAATTTATGAGACTTTGGTCTACTCAAGTGAATAAGTGCAGCTTCGTTTTTTAAAGGCACTTTCACCCTGCCCATCCGCTATTACAAATTAAATGCTTGGAGGTTGTTATATGCTAATTAGGACAAACAATAAACTGGTAAAAGAGAAACCCGACTTGATATGTATTTAACGAACTTTTGAATATGTAAGAATTCCCAGAAAAACTGAAGGTGGCGAGACTCGTATTATTACCAAAACCCGGAAAGAACCTAAACAAAGAGAACCCAAATAAGATTTTGCTAGCACATGAGTTAAAATATCTAATCCTGAAATGAATAAGAAGAAAAAGAGTTAATTTCTTTGTTTTTAAGACTTATGTCAAAGAAAAATAGATCAGGAAGTTGTCACTTGAGCTATTTATGTTTTATCTCACAGTATAACTTACCTTACCGTCGGGCTGATTTAATAAACAGTATAAAAATGGACTATCGCTTTCTGTACTAGGCGTGTGAAACTCTGCGTGATCCGGTATACTGCTACAAAAAACATCAGTAATACTTGTCAAATGAAATAATTACAACGATAAAAAATGACAAATTGCGACTTGTGTCTTTACAAGAAGTTGTCTGAGGTTGTTATGAATATGTACAGAATGGGAGCATTCAATCTTTTTATAAACACTCAAATAGAAGTTTTGATATAGACCAAAACTACTACTGAGTGCTGGTTTTCAAAAATTGATACTTGAAAACAACATAATTCGTGTAAACAAAATAAACATGCATAAAAAGCGAATTAAAGTAAAAAAGAAATAAAGGGTGCTTTAAAAAATACAAACCTTACATCTACTAAACCTGGTCATTTTTTATCAAAAATTTATATATTTAAATATTTTACAATGTATGTGTATTATGAGGATTATTCATTGGAAATATTTTTAAAAAATATCAAAATCAAGCTTCTTTACTGTTAAAATAATAAAATCTTTATTGTTAAGGTCAACATGCGATTTCAGTAAAATTTTATACCAAAACTTGGTCTGTGTTCACTCTACTTATATGAACACATGTCATAATGTCACAGTTTTCTCATTTCCTATCCATAAATGTACAACTTAAAAGACTACAAATGTCATTCCTGTGCCAGGGCTAACATATTCTGTTTCCATCCCCCATTCACTCCCGATTAACTCCAGCCCGCCATATTTTGTAGAGAAATTCTCAATCCCTCCCCCCCCCCCTCATATAGGCCATGATATACTTGGGTCTTCCAGATATTTACCGAAATCCTCTTAAATCTGCTGAGTAAATGGACTATTATAAGTACTGTCAACTGTCAAGATGTTAGTAGAAAGCAAATGATTGTGAACAAATGATCATATCATTGGTACTAAAAATTATATGATCGACAATGATAAGAAGTGACGATTGGAAGGTTAGGCGATGATTCAAAATCATCCTAACATTAGCCTCTCCTTTTTTTAGTAACATAAAGAACATGTGGAGATTCGCTTTATGCGGTTCTGAACTACGCCTGTCCTAGATGAGATAACAGTTACAGCTAACTTTCACACGTTTGTTAAACTACATGTTCGACATAATTCTATAGAACCGTTCTAGAAAATAAATATTAATTGACCTCCTGACCATTCCAGAAGAAACACTTATACCCAAACTGCATCTTCAAGAGTTTCACTAAACACCAAGAAGAACACCGCCAGCTACCATTTTCGTATACTCAGTTAGCTTAATACTCCAAACGACCAATATAAATGACTAAGACAGATATTAGGTGAGCTCACGCAGGAGCCAAACTATATAAAAGCCAACCTGATATGTCCCTTTGTATTGACGACTGTTTGTCTGTGCAATAACTCTTCAAGGAAAAGTCCCAGAGTCTCGAAACCAGTACAAGGGCTAATCTTGCTTCAAGGGAGAACCTCATTGAAATTAGAACCAATGTGTTCTTCTTCTCATATTCTTAAGCCTTTTCAGGTGTCTTGTAGAGGTTTCGGAACCTCTTTTATATATTTCTTCTATGTTTTTCTATCAATGAGTCGAAGCTCGCCAAAGTTACCGATATAAGTATACAAGAATACAACCAACTCCCGTCCATGGAGGATTATTCATAGAGCAGACTATCCACGACTCTGTAGAAACCATTTTTAATGTGAAGGAGAACGTATTTTATAAAGATTTAATATACGGGTAGTATTTTTAATATTATAAGCAGAAATATAATATTAAATTGTTACAGTGTAAATTGGCCAAAAAGAAACATTTTCCTACGCTCTGCTAATGATCGATTCACTATTTCTGAGAATCCATGATTGACACGTGATTCCGGCTGTTTTGGAGCATTTAGATGCTTAATTTCATTATTTGTTTGTTAGACTTAGTTGTTTGTCTGCTCTGTAGTCAAACAAAGAATTTGACTACAACTACCGGGCAGTGGTGGAGGGAGGTTGTAAACGTACTCGTGTTGTGACTCAGCCTTAGTTTGCAGTTCTTTGAGTTGATCATATCTTGTAAGATAATGCTTTATTTTGAGCTACACTGCATTTTTTTATTGATTTGTTACCATTACCGAGAAAGAAAAAAATGTTTTACTGGCGATTAATCAAAAGTTAGAACTCATGTGCCTTCAGTACGGTATCGGTGAGTCGACAGTGCGAGAAATTTTACAACAAAAGGATAAATCAATAAAAATATAATTTCCTAATTTATCAATAACAATATAAAATAGATTTTAGTGGCAATTTAAAGAGATAAAATCAGCAATAGTTTAATTATACTTCCACAATTATGTTTCCACTGAACGATCCTCACATATTTAAATCAGACTGACGTTGTATAAGGTGTAGGAGGCACTTAACAGAACGGAGTTTTTTTGACAAACAATGAAATTAATAACATCTTCAGCAGGAACGGATTTTGCAAATCACTAGCAATTACAAGCTCAAATTAGACACATACAGAGTAGCCCAAATTAGACAATCATCATAAAAACATTTAATGTTAAATTTTCAGCCGCTACATTTCTGTTTTTCTTGTTATTAAAGAAGCTTTTATTTTCATTTGTTTGACAAGTAGACTCCCGTTAAGCGCCACACACTCTGTTTACAGGGTAGTGTGTCAATAATGAGATAGTTATAGACATAATATATATATATATATATATATATATATATATATATATATATATATAAATCACATAAAAATGTTGTGAAAAACTTCTGTTAATATTACTAGACAACCGGTAGTATCCGACAGAAAAGTCGTTGTTTACTATATTTTTTCTCACTATGTGTACATCAATCTTTCTGTTTCGCTTTCTTTCTGCATCCTCTTGCATCTCTTTCTTACGGCGCATTGTTAAATTTCACAGCAAATTCTTATAAGCCTTAGATTAACAATAAAATATAAACGAATAAACTCGAAATCATCATACCTCTATTAATCACTTGATAGTAAGTTTCCACGAAAAAACATTAAAATTGTTTATATATGTTGTTTTGTATGTATGTTTTATTTTCTAGCGTATTAACATCTTCCTGTAGGAATCTATAAAAGAACGTCTCCCAGCTGAGAGACAGTTGTATTTGAAAAATTATTGACTAAATCTTGGCTCGAACCATGAACCTACTAAGCTACTCAGTAGCTACCCGAAGTAAGCTAGCCCGCTGAACCATCGAGTCCATATGTTTTATTTGTTGATGTTATAAACTCCAGATGTCAGGAAATCAGAGGTATACCAAGGGATAACAAATGGAAAAACTAAATAACCTGATAGCCTGGCAAATCAAAGAAACGAGTTGTTAGATTAGAACTGATAGACGAAGAGAATATTAAAAGGGTAATATAGCATTTTAATGCAGTATATAAAACAGGTGTGATTCACTCAGACTGGTGTGATACCACAATTCCACAAGCATTGCGACAAAATGATCAAAATCAAAATGGCGATTAATTATCTTCAAACTCTTAAAATCATCCTTAGAATACTTTCCAGAAGATAGAAATGCGAAGAATGCGCAGTTAGATTTTAGAAATGCACTCAGAACTAGAGAAGTACTTTTTCTGCTAAATGTCCTGTTGCACAAATGTCGTGATCAGTCAAAAGATGTTTTGCGTGCTTTGTTGAATGAAAATATAAGAATTGATAACAAAGGTAATCGCATAATTAAAATTATATACTCCCAAATAATGAGACACTGCCAACGTTTTATGTATTTAACGATGAATTGAACAGGGTGCCATTCTATCCCCAAAACCTTTCAATTTATGCTCAGATCGATTGTTCAAAAAAGTTATTGAAGTTCAACTATATAGAATAAGAATTAATAGGGAGTTGCTTAATGTCACTAGATATACGGATGATATGGTAATTTTATCAGACAAATTCCGTCGAATCGAAGTAAGACAGGAAATGTGTATCAAAATAAACGAAACTAAAACCACATTTTTAGTCTGCGGTCGTAACCTACATACAACTCGAATTAAATGAAGTATAAATTAACTTGTTTAAATTAACTATTTTGTTAAAACAATTAACAAATTCACATATTTGGGAAATATCATAAGAGATCAATTTGATCCATGTATAAACCATCTCAGCTTTGAATAAAGAGAAAACATAATGAGTGCTATGTTTTTCCTGTGGTGTTATATGAAGTATAAGTAAAGACGCTAAAAATAAAATCAATGAACCGAATTCAAGAATTAGAAACGATACACAAAAGATTGTAAAAGATTCCTTGGACTGCTTACAAAACTAACAATAAGTATTAAGAAAAATCAACAAGGAAAAAGAATTGCTAAAAGTTATTAAATTAGAAATATTATTTCGCAAGAATTCCAGCCTTCATCATGATGATCGGATAATTCTTTCACTTACAGAAGAAGGTAAAATTATTAGTTTGAACGAGAAGATACTTCACTTTCCTGATGTAGTATTATTATCTATGTAACCACTCAGTCATGGTTAGAGAAGAATAATCTTATCATTACTATCATGTAAGAATAACATTGTCATGTAAGAATTATATCCCTTTCTCAGTATTAACAAACCACCCTGTATATATATTTTAAAACACACGTTAACGCAATACGTAGTACATGTAAGGTGTTAAAAATATGCAAATCTCTTTAATTAATCCCATTTTGAAAGATTAATTCAATGAATGTTGTCACTGTCTTAAGAATTAGCGAACCAGTTCACTGTATATCAACATTAAGTGTGTTATAATCGATTTTTACATATTCTTTACTTAATCTACCAATTTACTGCATGGCCAGGGAAATAAGCGAAAAAAGTACCCTTACTAAACCGACCAGGCAAACGACAGGTGTTTTGAGTAGTATAGACCTTTTTAACAAAAACCTATATGTGCTCTGCGGTCGAATGTTTGGACTTAATTAATTATTAACAAATTAAGGTAAACAGCGGTAAATTTTGACTTTTTTCATCTATCAGCAAAAAGTGAAGTATTTTAATCATATTTAAGAATAATAAAGCTATATAAGTCATATAAAAA